CTTATATATTTTTTTTTTACATTTTTATAATTCAGAGATTTTTTCAAAAATTATTTTTTTTAATTTAACAGTAAAAATAATCAAATACTTTAAAAATTTTCCCCCTAGAGTGTATATATTTAAAATACCTAATACTTTTTATGCTAACCTTTTTCAACTATTTTTCACATGATTGAATAATTAAAAAATATTCTATTCTTTCTAATGCATATAACTTATTTCTTTATACTATGTTTTATTCTAGTAAAATGTAGAAAAATATTTTACCCAAATACGTACAGAACAAAATAACATTAAGAGTATTTTTAAGCTTTTGTTGCTAAAATTAACAAATATACAAGTTAAGCTGAATAACTTAACAAGAGCAGATCAACCAAAGTTAGAAATGCCAACTTAGTTCTATTATTGGCACAAAACAGTAGAAAATATGAATTCTGAATATTTTTGGGTTTTTTTGAGCATGCAAAATGTTTTATCTTTGTAGTTTTTGCATAGAGTACAAGCTCCTAAAAAATTATTTGAAAAAAATCCTTTAATGATTATTTTATCCTTTTTTGTCTCTTGTAGTGTTCTCATAAGTTGTATTTTAAATTATACTTTTCTTTTCATGGGTATTAGTAGGAAAACTATATTGTTTTTTTTACAATATTTTAGATGTAAATATATTATTGTGTGCATTATAAATATTTAATTTACTCAAATTTTTATATATTTTTAAAAAATTAAAATATAATGAAAATGTAAAAATGAAGCTGTGGTTGATATTATCACAAACATTAATGAACTTCAAAAATCATCATTTGCTATAATGCAGAATTTATTGATTTTTACATAAAAGCGAATTTAAGTTTATAGACATTTTCAGATGACTTATACAGCTGATTGTTATATTTTTGAATTAGTATTAAGCTATAGGATCATTTATATACAAAAACATTGTAATGAGAGATATTCTGTTTCTTGGAACTGAGACTGAAACAAAAGACAAAATTACTTTTCTCAATCTATGAAAATGTTGTTGATCTGAGCTGTATTATTAGTCTAAAATCATTTCTGCCATTAATTTTCAAAATAAAACATCTACATTTTCAGTTTTTTTCAAAGCTTTTGAGTCTTATATGGAAAAATTCTATAGGTGATATTCCAGAAAAGCAGTACAAGCAAAAAGATAAAAAAAAACTGTGCATTGAAAATCTAAAGAAAAAATGTTTATAGTAAGAAAACTGATCTTAAAAAGAAAAACAAGTATTCATTATGAGAGAATCATAAGCTTAAATATTCTTGATTCCGTACTTTTTCTATAAAAAAAAAAACCAAACCAGAAATATTTAAGCTTTAACATCTGGTTTACTTCCCAACACACACACACCATTATTTTGTGGCACTGCTTGGATATAGTTTGAATTAGAGGTTAATGGACTCCGAAAATCATCATGTGCTATGTAGAACTTATTTTTATATGAAATTGAATTTAAATTTATACAACTGATTGTTATATTTTTTGAATTATTCATAAGATATAGAATCGTTTATATGCAAAAACATTGTAATAGGAGATATCTTCCTTTCTCTGTATATGCATCTACACATGACTAAATTAAAAATTTAAAAAAGTGTTCTAATACACACATAAAAGAGAAATTAAGTAAGGAAAAGCATATTGAAAAATATTTGTAAGAAATTTAAATTGAATAAACAAAAAGGTCAATATTGAATATTTTGATGCATTCTCTATACCAGTATTTAAATTTTTCATTAAATTCTGATTATCAACAAGCATCATTTGAAAAGGGGAAATTATGGCTTGTCTAAATAACTGTTATGATTAGATTTAAGTGATTTTTTTATAATGTATACTGAGTATTTAATGTATCCATTTTCGAAATAGTAATTTAAGTCGTATGAATTACCTACGTTGACCTATAAGTCTGATTTTTCTTAATATTAGAAAAGTTATACTTGAGCATTTAGTTATTTCAAACTTTTAAAGTTACCTCCCCTGAAATATTCGTAATTTAAATTTGCTTTGAAAATTCAGGTCAAATGTTATCAGAAAATGAACAAACAGTTTTGCAACTATAGACTATTAAAGTCAATCCTAAACGGCGTCTTTACACTTACCTGTTTTTTGTTTGCGATATTTGTTTGGTTAGAGTGGATTTGTTTGACAAAAGGCTAAAAGAAAGTGTATGAATTATCCAACATATGGTGATTTTTAGTGTCTCAAAATAAAAATTATAATATAAGAAGAAAAATATATAGTTGATTTTAGCGTTTCAAACGATTTTTAACATATGATTTATCCCCCTTACATCGGATGTAAATGCAATATAATTTATTTTAATTATTTCAAGGCTCCAATATTCAGAGAACCTAACTTAAAAACGTTTACTTGAGCTTACTTTTTAGTGCATTACTACTTACTGCTACATGATGCAAAGAATTAGCCCTAATCAACACTGCCTTTTTATAGCCATTTGGCACTTATTGCCAACTAAGATTTGTATATTACATGACATGTAACATAATTATAGAAGTAATTAATAGTTAAGTAACGCAGTTCATCGAAAAAAGTGCCGCATAATTTGTTGCGTATTTTTATTCTTTAACTCAAAAAATAAAATTTTATTTTATTTGTTTGACCAAAGACTTAGAATTTGAAAAACGTAAATAATTAAAATAAAAATACCTTTTCTACCTGCACCAAAAATAAACGTGATACAAATTATTTTGTAGGGTGTGTAAAAAAAAATAGTTTGAAACACAAAAAAAAAAATAAATAAAATAACTATATCTTCGTCTATGAAAGCTGCTATTTTTAAATGTTTCTTTCACTGATTATATTTAAGTGACTGAAAAGTACTTCCTAATAACCCCCCATATTTTAACCACTTATAGGGAGGATTAGAAGACAAAGTTTGTTTTCTCTGCCTCATTCTATGACAAGGCTACTGAGTTGTATTATGTATCTAAAAATCATTAATTTTCAAAATGAAGCTTCATTTTTCTTTTAATAAAATTAACTTCTAAAACGTCTATATAAGTATTAATTGTGGAAAAGTCTAGGTCATATCCAGAAAATAATATGTACAAGTAAAATTGTAAAAAGAAAAAAAAAATGTAAAAAATCAATACAAAATATTTCTACACTAGGATAACAGATCTAAAAAACAAAAAAATAAGAGGAAATATAAAAGATTTTAGAAACAAGAATCTTTTAAAAATTAATATTTGACTGAGAGCCCCACTCTAAATTCAACAATATAGTCTAAAAAGAATTTATTTTGCAGTACCATGCCTAAGGTCGGAAGACAAGTCATTAGAATTCTTTTGTCATGAATTATGACTTTTCCTAATTAGAGAACTTGTTAGATTAATAACACTAATTCCAAGAAATAACAATAATAAAGATTCCAATAGACCTCTTTCTCAAACACTCAGTCCACAATACTTTAAATTTTGATAACCTTCATAGTATTTGTTAACTAATGTTTTCATAACAATATAGCATTGTTTTCTTTATCTAGCTTTAAACAATTTTTGTTAATTTGTTGATAAAGCATATTAAATTGTCTTGTAAAATCTGTGAATGTTACCTGAAGTTTTGCAGTACAATTATTCAGAATTTTAAAATTTGGTTGTTTAAAATTAACTTAATCTGCTACTGCTAGTTTGTAACAATCAAAAATTAAAAGAATGAAATAAAGGCAAAGCTATCTAATTTATCACTTCTTGAAATACCTTAGCCAGAATTAAGAATTTGTTCAAAAAAATATATATATTTAATTTTATATAGTAATGAAAACATGCAACGTAACATACTTTTTTGTAATTAAATAACTGCATTCACCATAATTACTTTCAAAGTAAAATAAATGTAAAAACTTTTCCAAGTTCACCACCCCCATCGTGAAAACTATCACGAACACCAGGGGATACTAACAAAATTCAATATAGAAATGAAAAAGTTAAGGACAAAGCAAAAAGTAAATAATAAACTGAAGAAAAATGACAGTTGAGCAATAGTTGTAAATAATCACTTTAAAATTTAATTAAAACCAATGACTATTTAAAAATTTTAACATTATGCACGAAATAAAAAGCTTTAGAAAACACTTGGCTATCTTATCAGTGGTATAATCAGTTTACGTCAGTCAAAACTGTTGTAAAGTAAAAATCTATCAATTATTCATTGCATCATTTGAAAATTATAACATTCATTAAAGCAAAAAACAAAAGTAATCTTCACCGAAAAATGTCACAAACTCTATAAAAGCAGAAAATAATGTAATTCATTAATTTAAATAAAGCTTTCCATTCCAATGATTCAATTCAAATATTTACAGTTACTGTTACACTTGTATTTTTTTTTTACTGTCAATTGCAATAAAAAGAAAAAAGGTAAGTTAAGAAGAGAGAAGCCTAAATTAAATTAGTAGCCGCTGGAAGAAATTATTCATCAGGTTGTACTTTAGAAAAGTCGTAACTTCTCATTTAACAAATAAAAAGATATTGCATTCTGTTATTTTTTTTACACGTAATAATAATACCTGTGCTAAATTATGTAAGTAAGCTAATTCTAAATAAAAACAATCTAATTTCACAAATGGAAATAAGTGGCTGCTTGTTTTACTGTTCTGAAGACAGACACATGCGCATATATACTTTCTCCTTTTTTAAATAAAATAAATCGTGACACTGCATTTAACGCAGTAATATCATTAAAAAAAAAAAAGCTTGCGAAGGGAGAAATCTATTTCGTTTTTCCACTCCACCAAAAAAAAAAAAGTAAAGCATGTCATATAGACAACAACTAAAAAGTAATGTGTATTGTAAGCCGAGTTGGCACTTTGAATCACGTGATCTCTCTTAAGTCACGTGATACGGGGTGTTGCCTTCCTTAGTTTCACTGTGACTGTTAAAAAGTAAATTGGTTCTATGTTGTTTTTTTATTTGTTTAGAAAAAATTAGCATTAAGAAAGAAAAGGAACATCGTTCAAATGGAGAAAATTAAAGGTGAGAGAAATGTGTTAATTACTGTAAAGTTGTGTAGAATTATGATTAAAAAAAAATTATTCGCTAATATTCGATTCATTCGTTGTATGAGTGTTGAAAAAATGAAAGTAAAAATTTAAGACAATAATAAAATTATTAAAAAAATATATTGGGACATGCTTGTTTGTTGCTTTTTTTCCGGTATTGTTTTATTGTTATTGTTTTGATCGCAAATGGCTTTATTTTTATTTGTTTTCTTACTTTTTTTTTTTTTTTTTTTGTTTGTGTGTATTTTTCCTTTCAAATCGGTCTCTGATTAAATGATGTATTGATTGTTTTTTTTTTTGTTTTTTTTTAAGGAGGACACGTAGTTGAAATGCAAGGCGATGAAATGACCAGGTTTGTGTTTTTATTTATTTTATTATTTCATTTATAATTTTGTTATTTCTTTTTAAAATCATAATTTCCAAACTTGAAACCGGGATTTTTCAAATTTTATTATAGATAGGTTTTCTTCAGTTTGCTTGAAAATAAAATTCCCCAAGGTAAGGAGATACTGACAAGTGACAACTTACCGAGATTTAATTCATAGAATAAAATAATTCACCTAACTTTTATGAATTTGTACTCAATGTTTCATGGATTTTTTTTTTTTTTTCATCCAATCTTTGGCGGATTTCTTAGTGATTTACAATTTGTTTTTGCAATCGCGTTAAATGTGATTCCATTTAAGATTAAGAAGACTTAGAGTTGAGATAATCAACAGCTCTAACTGTGAAATTCATCTAATTTATTATTGCTCTATAATTTAATTACAACAATTGTTTGCCTTCTTCTTTAAAATCTTTTAAGTTACTTATCTTCCAGTTTCCCTCCGATTACCCTGGCCGATCGATTTTTCATGAAAAACAATCTTTTTTTAATATTGTTATATTTCTTTTTCTGAATGTCTGGTAATCCTCACCATCAATTGGATACCCACAACGGACCCATATATTTTATCTGAGATAAAGAGAAAAAAAAAGTTATAAAACTTTTTTTGATGTATGAGCTTTGCCGAATCACCGAAATTTCAAGGGGAAGGAACTTGAGAAAACTAATAATAGACAAGACGATTCTTCCAACTCATATTGTTCGTAAGGTTTTGTCAATTTTTTGACAGCACAAATTGGAGCGGGGGGGATAAAGTAAACGAAACATAAAGATGATTATTTTTCATAAGAGTGAGAAATAATTAAATCAACTGCCCCAGTTATTAGAGAAACTACATTCCATTTTTTTTAAATTATCAACAGTTAAACAAACTTTTTAGTTAAAAAGTCTTTACTTTACTAAACTTTAACTAACACAGTTTTGGTCACCTTTTTTTAAAATAAAATAATTCCTGAATGATTTTTCTTTGTTGTTTTTTACTCTTCTAACTAACATGATTTTGAAATTCATTCCCACGTATTTTTTGAATTTTTTAATCCTTTCTGGCATGTCCAAAATTTTAGTTAAAAATCTTGTTTTTTTTTGTCATCAAAATTTACATAAAATCAATCATGTCAGCCGTTTTTAACAACTTTGTAAACAAAAGTGAAATTCTTCATTTAAAAATCTTGTAAAATAAAATATGTCTTTATTAGACAAAAATCACAATGAATTAGGTAAACGCAGATCCAATGAAACAAAGGTAGATATGGATTTTCTAGGTTTGCAAGTGTCTACTCAAAATGTGGTCTTATGGGATATAGTCAGTGCATTTTAAGGCAACAAATCAATGAAAAAAAGGCGAAAATTAAAATGTCCTATTTAATTTATAGTAATTAAAAATATAATTCTATAAAGTAAATCTGTCATGGGCGAACTTTTTCGAGCATTGGCTGCATGAGATATATAACTCATCAATAGGTGGGCCACACTACAAAAAAAAAAATCAAGGTAATTTTTCATTGAAGGTATCTCAGCCATTTTCACTACAGAAGACCATATGCATAAAACATCTACATTAGAAATCAGAAAAAGTTATTTTTTCTCTTTTTAAAAAGTGTTGTCTATAATTAAAAATTGAAGTCTTTGTATTATGACTGATGACAGTGTGATTAACACGCACTATTGTGAATGATGTGTTTCTAATCTATTCATCTGTGAAGGAATAAAATATTTTTTAAAAGACAAATATATTTCTTTTCCAAAGAAAAATATTTCTTATGAACGTTGCCAATTTCTAAATCAAAAGATGTTTATATGTATGATCCTCTTTAGGGAAAATTACCAATGGTTTAAAATGCTGAAAACATTACCTTCAATGAAAATTTTTTAAATTTTAAGAAACATTGTATTATTAATCATTGCTTATGTATGTTATTACGTCTGAGAAAATATGAGTGAATAAGTGAAAATGAAAGTTTTAAGAAATGTTATTTTGGCTTAAAATAGGTATGCTATTCAGAAGGGCAAATGGGCCACAGTTTGCCCATGACTAAACTAAATACTGCCAATAGAAGTCATTTATTTTAGAGTAATTTGTACTGATTATTATATGTACAGGATGGTCCAAAATAGAAAATTATATTATGTAAAGGTGTCACCCTTACATAATATAATTTTCTGTTTCAGATGGCTGACACAAGCTCCTACAGTTTAAGAGAGGGCTAGGGTAAAAAGACTTACAGACCATTCTGTACATCATTAATAATAATTACAAAAATATGTATAAATTAAAATTTGATAAAACAAATTTTATACTCATTAAATTATAGCAAACAAATTATTAAAACATTTTATATATTGATCAACTTTGATATACACCATGGCAATTAGATCTCTTTTGGATTTACTCTACATGTCAGCCAGATATGAATGCTAAGAAAGCAAGACAGAAAATAAAAAAAAGTTGTTTTCTGCAAAGGTGCTCTGAACAACCCATCTAATTCACAAAATAAATCCCTGCAAAAATCAAAAATACAACAACCAATTATTCCTGCCAGAAAATAAAAATGGGGCGGGGGGACTAAATTTGCTTTAAAAAGTCCTGTCTCAATGAATGAAACAGTAGCAGGGTGAAAGGCCACCTGTTGTCATAGGCACATTGTTGTCATCACCTCACTCATCACTACCATGACCTTGCCCAAGCTTCACTAATCTCACCTGAATCTTCACACACAGAATTCAGCCAACAAGCCAGCTTTGACACTGGCAGATTCCCAACACCACCACCATGATTTCTAACACCTTGATGACTTCATCATCCAGCTTCAGGCCTCTTTTATCATCATCATGATCCCATTTTGTTGATCTCCCATTCAACCAGAATTCTGCTTGATCAACCTTCACTATCCATTCCAGGCCTCCCTCATTACCACCATGACCTACATCAACCTCCACCAATGCATCTTATGAGGCAATTCAGTTTCAACATTTCAACTTCATCAGATGACTACCAGGCCATCAAAGACCTAAACAGTGTCAATTTCAACCTTGAAAAAAGGCGTGTATCAAACCCCACAACAACATTCCACTTGGCTTCACTAATCCACTCTAGGCCTCACCCCTGACACTAGGTGTGACTTCAGCCAACCAACTCAACAAATCGGTTAACTCCTAGCCCTACTGATAATACTTTTACAACTAATCGCTTTCCTTAGCAATAGCAACTAAGGAACAACATATGAACAATTTTTTCTGTCTTTCACACAACTACATATATATTATGAATTTTGACAAATGCATGTTGAAATTTTAATCCTTGTTTGTTCCTCTTCTTTGCAACTATATGCCCATTACAACAACTTCAAAATTTATTAAATATTATTAATTGAATGAAATGTGATATTCCAACAAAGAAACCAACTTAAAGTAAAATTTTCTCAGGTTATAATTTACATAAAAAGACACAAGGACACGTAGCCCAGTGGATAAAAGTGTTGTTTGAAGTAATTCAATGACTTGACCCAATGAGTTGTGAGTTCAATACCTGGTCACAGCAGAGGTGAACAAAAAAATTGGCAAGTTGAGTTACTAAAGGGAGTGAGTTTCAGAAAACTGAAAAGACAATAGAGCAATCTACCCCAGTGGACTAATTAAATAGTTTGGTTTGAAATTTCAATGTATATCACCTGAAGAAGGCATACAATGGCCAAAATGTCATGAATATAACAATAAAGATTAGGATAACAGTCCGAAAAAGATAAATAGTTAAATGCCTCATCTCAGATATATAGACAAATGATAAAATGTATACACCATTTAAAACTTATATCAAATTATTTTGCATAAAATTTCAACTTTCTACCATCTATAATAATTAAGTTATTTAAATTTTTATACCTTTCAACTAACACACTTGGAAATTAAAACTAATTTTTTTATAAAAACAATTATGTGCAAAGTCATATGTTTACAACAATGTCCATTCACATACTATATATATATATATATATATATATATATATATTATTTTACATGTTATTTTTTTAGTGGATACTCATATTTGAGTAAATGCTTCGTTTATTCATTAAACAGTATATTTATTTTCATCTACTGGCCTGAATGCTCAAGAAATCTTATTAAAGAAACATTTGCACACTCTGGTAGACTTCAAACCTACATCCCTCTGGGCTGAGGGAGCTGCTGTTCGATCTGGTATACTCTGACCAAGTGAGCTACAGAGAACTAGCCAGTCAGGCTAGCCTGAAATTGTGCCTCTAAGTGAAATTTCTCTCATCAAAGCCTGCCAGACCTAATGGCAACTTCAACTTTAATGGGAAGTTAATATTAATATTTCATCCTTAATCTGCTTCTTATGTTCTGAGATCATGCATTAGTCACCATAACTTTAAACAAAATGGCAGTGATTTATACTTAATTAATGTACTTGTACCAACATGGAATTCTGAATGTGCATTGGAATAGCAAAAACTTCCAGAAACTACACAAAATATTAAGAAACAGGAAAAGAACAAACAAGGATTAAAATTTAAACATGTATTGATCAAGTGTAAAGAATATATACATAGTTGTGTGAAAGGTGGCAAAAATTGTTAATATGTTGTTTTTTAGTTGCCGTTGATAAGGAAAACAATTAAGTGTAAGGGTATTATTGGTAGGTACCAGGAGTTGAACGATTTGTTAAGTTGATTGACCAAGATCACAATTGGTATCAAGAGAGGGGCCTGGAGCAGATTAGTGAAGCAGAGTGAGAGTGTTGTTGGCTGGGTTGATGTACATCTTTCTTCATGGTTGAAATCAACACTTGTGAGGCATTTGATGGGCCACTGTCATATGATGAAGCCAAAGTGTTGAAGCCAAACTGCCTGTCATCAGCAAGTAGTGCCATTTTTATATCTGTGACTTAACAGGTGCAGGCTCCCAGGCAGATCCTTTTTTTGGAATCAATGTTCATGATTGGTTATTGCATTTTAGGTTTTTGACTAGATGTGATGCTTGGAGCCCCTGGGCAGAAGACAACTTTTTATTTTGGATTTTGCTTTCTTAGCACTCACATCCAACTGATATATCTAGTAAAATGTATTTGTGAATCAGAAAGATATCTTGATTAAGTAGTATAACATTAGTAAATGAATTTTCTCACAGATAAAGAGGAGACTTGTGACAACAGAAATGTGGTTCTATAGATAGATACTAAGAATATCATGGATGGAACATATGTGCAACAAGAAAGATTTTACAGAAAGTGGAAGGAAAAAAGAAACTTGCATTTAGAATCAGAAAGAGACAGTTGAAATTAGGAGGAAAGAAGGCTTGGAGAATTTGGCACTAACAGGAAATATTGTAAGCAGGAGGGGCAAAGGGAAACCTCAAGTTAACTACCTAACAAACTTGTGTAAATGAATGGCAGAACAGAAACTTGGAAGAATCATAAGGGAATAAACATTGCTTAGGACTAAAAAGGATAGGAAAATTGCAGTGTGTATAATGCTTCTGACACTTTCTCAAAATATATTGGCTTGATTATCATGTATTACTTTACTATCTATGGATCCATTAATGATTCTTTTGAGAGGGAAAAACTCCATGCCATTAAATGGTAATAGAGTACAAGGGATATACCAACATTTATTGACACAGAAGCCATGTACTTTTTGTTACTTGATATTTATTTCTCTTCTGTTGTTTTGTCTGATGCATATAAAAACATTATCTTTATATATATATATATATATATATATATATATATATATATATATATATATATATATATTTTATAATTTTAGGATCATCTGGGATTTAATCAAGGAAAAGCTTATCAAACCATTTGTTGACCTTGAATATCATTTTTATGATCTTTCAATTCAAAACCGAGACCAAACTGATGATCAAGGTAAGTTAATTTAAGAAAACTTACACACCGTTAGTCAAGTCATAAATTTTATTAAAAATGAGAAGTGTCTATATATATATATATATATATATATATATATATATATATTCCCCTCCAAAATAAATAGTAAATAATTATTTTTTGAAGAAGTAAGGCTCACTACAGTTTTTTCTTGAAAAAATGATAGATAGCTACACATAGTTTTTGCCTTTCCAGTTGCACCCCTGATGATGATCTCAGAAAGTGATTGAAAGTACTTGGGAAATAAAAGTGATTCTTACTGTTACTGTGCATTTCTTGCCTTATTGTATTGTAATATATGGAAAAATATTTGTGAATATGAAAGGATTATGATAAAAATAAACAGACATAATGTTTGTAATTTATTCAATCAGACATATATGTATGTTATAGACAAGCGTATGGTTGCAAGAAAGAAATACGACAACAGCAGAAATAGATTTACGTGGTTTATTTTAACAGGAACGTGTGGGTTTGGGACAGTTACCTTGTGGTAAAGTTCATGAGCCGGCTTTGGATCAAGGTCGATCTCTCATAGTAGTTCACACATGTTGACGGTGGTTGACGCTCCCCTGCTGTCAGTAGCTGACCGTGACAGGTCTCTACTCTGGGCACCTGTTGACTGCCTCTTGAACTTCCGTGTGACCCGTTTTATAGCGTTTTTTTATGGCTTAACAGGCTCGAAAAATGAAGCGAGTATAATTAGGAGGGAAGCATTTTTATTGGACGAAAAATAGAACACTTTAATTATTATTTTATTTTTCGACTGGAACTCGTGTGTCGGGAACATTTGTAATTGAAGGTAATGGTCATTTTGTGACAGGGTTTTGTCCTGTTCACATCCGGCTCTTGCTCTTGAGTATTTGCCTGTAAATCAGCCGAGATATGTCTTATTTTATTTTATAACAAGGCTCCCCCAGATATCGGTCTGATTTACAGTGAGCGTTATTCGTGCATATTTGGGTGATTAATTCTCTCTAGCGTATGGGAAGTTGTCCTTGTGTTCTTCTTATTGGCATTTGTTTTGGTATGGGGTTATTTGCTGAATTATATGTCTCCGAGGGATGTGGAGGAGAATGATCCTGGTGACTGTTACATGGTGGAGGCAGAGGGATTATATTAGAAAGATGTGTTGGGCGTGGAGCCAGTCGTCGGATATGGGCACGGTGAATCCAGATTGTATCACCATCATCGTTTTGCACCTGACACATCATATTGTTCGTTTTTATAATGGTGTATTTTCCTTTCAGGGCAGATGAGAGGATTGGGCAACAGTTGAGTGTGGCCCGATGAAGTAAAACCTTGTTGCCTACTTGTATTGGGTCCTTGTATGTGAGGCGATTTAAGTTAGTCTCAAGTTTGTGGTCAGCTTCATCGTTGGCCAGGGTGACGTGGTGGTGAACCTGCTTTAGCAGGGCATTAATTTGCATTCCATATGCTCCAGGATCGTCGCTTGTGATTTCTTTTCTTCAGTGAAGTGTGTGCCTTGATCAGAGGATACTATGCGTGGAATCTCTCTGTGTCGAAGGAAGAAATGGTACAATCTGCAGGCAGCATCGATAGCATGGTCTCTCGCGCATGGTATGGCTGTAAAATGTCAGCTGAAGCTATCCAAGATGGTTAGGATGTAGCGTTTTCCCTTTGAGTTGGGCATTGTGACAGTCTATAAAGACGAGATCGAATGGTCTCTTTCCTCGTTTGCAGTGGCCAATGGGCCAGTGGGTACGTCTACCGTAGTTGCCCTTGCACTTAGCACACGGTCGCAAGAATCGACATAGGCCTTGATATCGCGGTTTTTTTCCCACCAGTAGCTGTAAAGGAGTTCTATTTTTCTGGGTAACACCTGAGTGGTTGTTGCCCTCGTGTTGTTGGTAGAGGTATCTGGGTCGTAGTTTGTATGCTACAACCAATCTTGGAGAGTATTTACTGTCTCTTATCATCAAAAAGGAGGTGCCTGATTCTAGAAAAAAATTGGTACAAATGTTTTTTTTAAAAGCGTAGCTCGGTGGTCGTCAGGATCGATATGAGGTTCGCTTGGAGGGGTGACTGGAGGCGCTGATGATCTTTGCCAGGGTGTCGTCCTTCTGTTGTTCATCTGCGATGCCGAGGTGGTTGCAGATTCTCTCAGTGGGGATGGTGGTGGTGGAGGATAGGCGAAGAATGCGTTGGTGGTGCGCTTGTGGGTGCGGGCGTTTTTAATGGTGTGTGAGTTTTGGGAATGAGCTGTAAACCGTTAAACTCACTGAGGCACCAAGATGGGATGTATATCGAGGTCTGAACCGCTTTTACCTTGAATGTCCTGCCTGCCGGTGTAGGGTCGTTCGGGGCTTTCGTTTTTCTTATGTCCGCAGCCTCTGCTGAGCATGTCAGCCCATACATTTGATTAAAATTTCAACATATTCCAAGACGAATTTATAACATGAAATTTCTTCTTGCCATCGTCGTATTTTGGCATTATTGAACTCTCGTTGGTCCAGATATGTCAGCGATCTGTGGTCGGTGAAGATGATGAAGGGGCGGTTCTGGAAGAAATAATCAAATTTCAATATTGCCCACTTTATTGCATATGCCTCTCGTTCCGTCGTGGACCAGTTCTCTTCCGTGGAGTTGAATGTATGGGAAGCGACCACTATGATATCTTTCTTCCCGTTGTCGGCTTCTTGCATTAAGATTGCTCCACATGCGACGTCACTGGCGTCGGTGGTGAGTGTGAAAAGTTTGGAGAAATCTGGAAAGTTGTTTGCATAGAGTATATTTAAATTACTTTTAATCACAGATGATCTTGGCAGTCAAAAAACTGTAATTTACTACTATTTTTTTTTTTTTTTCATAAATAAGCTTTGTTTGGCTCCTTATCTAACCTTTGCTGAAAACTGGCCTTTCAAAACTAACTTGTTTTTGAAGGATCATTTGTGTATTTAAACTGGCTAGCCATTACTTGTATAAGAAAACATTTCTACATCATTCATGATTATATCAAAACTTGCTGTCTAGGGAAAATTGTTTGGTGATGTTGTACAGTAGGCACTGCAACAAGAAATAACTATTTTTTCCATAATTTTATTTCATATTGCTATGATAAAAAAAAAAAATTATTAAAACTTTTATAACTTAATAGTGGGTTCTAGTTTGCTATTTAAATCGATCCTTCTAAATGAGCCAAAGCAAAAGATGCTCATATCATGAAACCTCTTAAAATTTTGAATATTAAAATTTTTAAAAATTTATAATCTGGAATGTTTTTTTTCTTTCATCCATTACTTTTGATTAAGCACTCTCAATTATAAAAATTTTTTTAAATTTTAAGAAATCATCTGGTATATGCATATTTTATTTTTGCTAACATAGGGAGATCAATATACAATGAATTTACACAGCAAACTGGACCCCCTATTAACTTTTATAAAATTTAATAATAAAAAAACAATTTTATATTCATGCTCTTGAAGGCATAATCTACAGAAATATAAAAACAAATTTGAAAAAATGACTTTTTCAAGTTACAATGCCTATTGTACAAGTCCATCAATTATTTTTATTTTAGAAAAAGAAGCATATGCTCTACCATTAAACCAGAAAAAAAACATTATAGAAAATCAGTCTTTAACTGTTTATCCGATACAAGGCTCAAGAGCATGGTAGAGGGTTACTGAATGAGATAAATAAGAGCAAATAGAAGGAATGGAAGATTATGAGGATGATGATTAAGATAGTAAGTGACCCTTAACTTGAAGTGGTTAAGATTGTAGCATTCAGGGAAACATCCACACAGGAGTTCCATTTCATAAAATACATCTATTTGATGCTTTGGTACACATCATCAGTGATGTTTCTAGCCAAGGTTCATATATACAGTTAGAAAATGTAATGGTTGTAATTTAGCAACAAAATCACTGCATATAAATTATCAGGTATAGCCAAGCACTGATAAACCATGGGCAAGACTACATATGGACTTCGTTGGACCACTAAATGGTTCATACTATTTAATTATGGTTGACAGTTTCACAAAATGGCCTGAGATATTAAAGTGTAAATGACCTATTACTGTAATAACAATTAGATTCTTGTGCAAACTTTTTGCAAGATTTGGAGTACCTGACAGTGTGGTATCGGATAATAGAATTCAATTTACTTCTAGTGAGTTTAAAAATTTCTGCAAAGGCTATGTGATTGAATTTGACAATACAAATTTATCATCTGAAGTTGAATGATCAAGTGGAACGGTTTGTTGGCACCTTCAAAAGGGTATTAAGAAAAGCTAAAGGAGTGGAATCTGAAGAAACAGCACATCAAATAGAACTTTGAGGAATGAGAAGACTTACCTCCCGCAAAGCGAATTCGCATGGCATGTCAGGTCTTGTTAAAAACATCATGACTGGTGTTAAAAGCAAAAATAAATTATTCCGAAACTCTTATATCGCAGACAGGTGTACTACGAAAAATAAAAATAAAAAAGACTAAAACTTCAAGTCAGCGTAAATTTATAAGATCGGAAGTCTCGGGCAAACGAGAAGTAAGTCTCGTATGCAAATGTTAGTTTCTCCCAACTCGGGCATAAATAGTGAGTATGTGAGGATGACAGGACAGAATGCATTGTTGGCATGACGGCTTATGTACTAACGAGAGAATAGGAGGTCACTAGCAACAGCTCAGGTGGTAGACCGGAGGACTGGATGAAAGCAAGCACTTTAATCTATTTTAGTCATAGCAAACGATGGGCAAACTGAATTACGCACACAAACGTCACCACGAAAATGTCACCTGCAGAGATCATGTTTGCTAGGAAAGTTAGATCCATTTTTGACAAATTAAAACCAGGAAATAAGAAAGTTTGACAATTTCAAACTACCAGATCATTTAAGATCAGCAATAAAGTTTTCTTTAAAAGCTTTAAGGCTAGAAAGGAAAATTGGCAGGAAGGAAAAATTATTCAATGCCTTGGTAGTATGATGTACATTGTTGAAGGTGGATGATTTCGTCATAAGAGACATATAATTCAGTTGAGGTCTAGATATGCACAGAATAAGCAACCAGTACAATTTAATTTACTGATGGACATACTTTATGATACTTTTAAAGTACCTATTCCTAAAACAGAAATCACAATAGAGTCATTCCTTGTCAAATCAACAAGGGTCTGACAATCACCAACTCAGAATTTTTTCAAATTTGGTACACTTACAGAGCTTCATGATAGAAATTGAATGGTACCTATTTTACATTTTTAGGTCAAAGGTTCCCAAGATATGATTCTTTGACCCTTACCAAAAGGTGAATTATGGTAAATAGTCACAAAGTTTAAGTATCAATATCTCAGTTGTTTTTTTCACCCACAAAGCTAAATTATATACTATTTAAAGTACTTGGATAGATTTAAAAGGTGATCTACTTATTTATTTGTTTAAAGGTCAAATAAGATAATTTGACTTCGACCTTAACCTTTGACCTTTAATTTCTCAAAAAATGTATCTAATTTTTGTTTAAATTTGACAACAAATTTGTCTGCCTTATGACAAGATATGGACAAATTTTTGTGGTGGACTTTTGACTGTGCACCTGAGTTACAAGGGTTTTACTGAGTTGGGCCAAATCCAAAATGGTGGATTTGTGCATTTGCCACTATATGCTAACATTTTCATATCTCCCAATATGGTGAAGTTGTACATGTTTAGAAAGTTCTTTGAATGTTGATTAATATTCACAGAAGAAATATGCTCATAAAATCAACAGAATTTGTGTTGTGTTTAAATGTTGACCAATTCAGTGGAAAATATACAACCTTATTTTTGGTTTTGTTTACATTTTTATTATACAACAAATAAATTGTTATATAAAAAAATGACATAATGAAAATAATTATTTAAAAATGTGCCATGTATTAATGTTACGATAACATAAAATAATATGAAAATATGCAACAAATGATGTTTATGGCTAACAAATCTTTGTTGACATGGTACGCTAAATGCACAAAACAATGAAATTTTCAATTTTTTTATATATTTAAAAAAATAAAATTTGATCTGAAAAAGTGATGCATACAAATGAATATTTAAAAAAGATTCTTAACATTTACAAAGAGATTAACAAGCAAATCCATTGTCGAATAAAATTAACAGCATTAGCCGAATATTATGAAAGTTGACCCATTTCAGAAAAAGGTATTGACTAAGGAGAGATGAACATATCTCTCCAGAAGAGGACATGGACTAGTCAAAATACATATAGACTGAGGCCGAGAATGGTCAGTAGAAGGAGAGAAAAGTAGAGAGTTAACGATCTAGCTTATTTGTTTACTACCTATTTCAGCAAGACTATGTCGACTAAATGCAACATTCTACTTCTTGATTGTGTTATCTTCATTTAATGCAATGAAGACAACAATATTGTGAATAAATGTCATTTAATGAAATGCCAGAGTTTCTCAATTATTTTTCATCTTCCAGTCACCATAGATGCTGCAAATGCCATAAAAATATACAATGTTGGCATCAAGTGTGCTACCATTACTCCTGATGAAAAGAGAGTTGAAGGTAAGCAACCTATTCTTTTTTAATTTGGTTTTAATTATAATAGCAAGCATATGATATACAATTTTTCACTTCTTTGTCACTGATTCTTCAGTTCAGCAAGGATACATAAGTAAGCATAAAGGGAAAATTAACCAAAATTTCAAATATATTCTACATTTGACAATCTGACCAATAACTACCATATAAAAAAAATAAGACTACATTTTAAAAAATAACAAAGACTTTTAAATAAGTCTTGGTAATTATCAATCCCTAGCAACATAGTAATATATATATATATATATATATATATATATATATGTTTCATTAAAAAATGACTGACAAGTTACTACAGTTAATCTTTTTTTTTTAACCTTTCTTGTGTTCTGATAATTTTCTTCTTTTTGGATATAAATTATGTAAAAAAGAAAAACTTATAAACATAAGAAAAAAATTAAATAAAAAAAACTTATCCACAGTAGCTTGCCAGTCATTTTTAATAAAACTTGTATAACAGAAAGATTGCTGCCCAAATACATAATTTTATATATATATATATATATATATATATATATAAGAAATAGTGAAAGGAAAACTGTTTATGCCAATGCTTTTTGTTCCTTGAGGGACTATCACAGTAATTATAGGAATTTTATTTAGTAACCTATATTTATAAATGGAAGTAACATGGAGAAAAAATAATATTCAAATTTTGAATTAGAGAATGCACTAAAATATTAAAAAATCTTACAGTATAATGGAAAAGCAAACTTTAGAAAACGCTAAATGAAGTAAGTTTTGGGCATATTAAATGAAAGGGAATTAATTTGTTGAATTGATTGTTGAATTTTTTTGTTATTATTATTGATTTTTTTGTGTATATATATATATATATATATATATATATATATGAGTTGAAGATCAAATGTAGATCAGATATGGATAGGAATTCAACTAGACAGTAAAAAATGAAACAACGAACAAAGTAGGAAATGAATCTTAATCTAACATGTTTCACCTTTATTAAGGCTTTGTCATAGATCAAGAAATGAAAAAACAAAGAGACAGAGTTCTGGAATGTTATAATTTTTGGTTAGTTCTCATTGGTCAGAAATGCATCACATGTGTAAACAATAGATAATATGTAAATATGTGTGAGGAACATTTAGGATGTTAAAGTGTGTAAGATTGTGTAAGTAAAGAAACACTTGTGTGTGTAGGTGGATGTAGGACAGTAGCATTAATTCATGTAAGTGTATAAGTGTCTATGTGAGAGAAGTCTACAAATGTCACCCTCATATTTTGTCAGTCAAATATAGTGGGATGTTGTAAAATAATTATATATTTGGTTGGATTTTTATATTCACATGTACGTGGCGGGGGGAGTAAGTCTGTGGTCATCAATTCTGTGTGGGTTGGTGAAATAAAGTAGGATATTGTAATAATCTACTTTTGGCTAGATTTAACATGCATAATTGTGAAAAATAGAAATTTGTAAAATCCTCATTTAGACATAAGTTAGATTCATGAATAATGAATATGTAGAAAAATGGTGATATGATGTAATGTTTTAAATGAGTGATTATAGTTGATAGTAATGCTATGAATATATTTTCTCCTTAAAGGTTTATGTTCTTTTTTAATTAGGCTGGCATTAGTGAAGTCAAAGTTATGTCCCATGTTGTTGCAATGTAAGATGAGAGTTAGAATGTCTGTCTAAACACAATCTCTCTTGTGTTCATAGATCCAGGTTTTTAGATCATATGATGTCTCTCTCGCATATACATTTTTGCACTAAATAAAATTTTCACAAATATATATATATATATATTTGATAAACAAAGTAGAAAATTGTTTTATTGCTTACACATTTTACCCTTGCTAGATTTGCTTCCTCGGGTCAGAATGAAAGAAATGTGTATGTGTGTTAATATTAAATTGTAAACATGTTTGATAGGCTGGTGTTTCTTCCAGTTGGAATAAAACAACAAAATGCTGTGATTTTTCTGTTAAAGCTTTTAATGCGTGTTTGTTAGGTGTTTTGGTCGTTATGAAAGAAAAAAAACTGCTTTTTTCTGTTGTTGTTTTAAAGTCACCAATCTCTGCTGGACCTTAAATTAGCCCCCTTCAAGCAGATCCCTGCTCCCCCTCCAGCTCACATACTGCATTCTGCTACTATTGCTTTTGTAGCAATTGCTGATATTATATATAAGCCTGGTCTTAGGTTTATTTTCACTGTGAGATCAGTGTACTATCAATTCATTTTCTTTTTAAGGAATCTTTTTCTCTCTTAATCTGACTGTCATTTATTAAGTTGAAATTGTGTATATGTGTGTATGTACATATATCTACACATACACACCCACACACACACACACACACATATATTTTTTTATCATGCACACATACACACACACACACACATATTTTTATCACTCTAAATGTTATTTTTAGTGGATACTCATATTTGAGTAGACTTCCATTTATTTGTTAAGCAGTATATTTTTTTATTTTATAGAAAATTGTTTTGTTTACATTGGGATATGAAACTAATTAGATGTAAAAAGTTTATATATATATATACAAACACATGCACACACACACACAAGTATGATCATTAATGAAATTATCTATTGATTATTTCATTATTATTATTTTATTAGTTCTGCTTTCTGACTTTTACTCCATCTTGTTACTTTTTATCATAAGACAGCAAAGCAAAAATAAGTAAGTCCTGAGAGCACCCAAAAATAAGGGACCAACACAGGTTTTTTTCTTCTGAAAGTATTATGCCTTGCTCAAGGGGATTCCTGAATTTTTAAAATTGACCAAGCCCATTCATCTGCTCTCTTGGCCTTTATTCTTGCACTATCAGTATAATATGTCTATTCTAACATATGATATGATGTGGACCTGGAGAGGGATGGGCTTTGCCTGGTCTAATTACCCAAGACACATTACATATGAATAAATACCTCTCTGACTAAATACTGATATAGGCATGCAACTGAAATATATAGAGGTACCTGTTCAGGTACTCAGTTTTGCAGCCACCCTAAGACCACACTTGGTCTTGGGAATGATGATGATGAATATATTTGCACTAAAATGTCACTTACCCCTGTTCAGTGGAAGAAATGAACAAACAGTGCAAGATAAGTGAGTATTAATTGATATGAAATATCCCTATAGCATGGAAAGCAGGAGAACACAATACCCCCATCAATTGAATAAAGGGTTCAGTTTGAAATTCCAAGTTTACAATGGCCAAAATATTGTGAGGATAACAACTAAAATGAGCATACTAATTCAAATAGCAAAGTATATTTACAAAGTTAATAAGTAAGGGCTGTGAATACATTTTTCCATAATTCTGGAACTGGTCATTCTGATTTTAAAAGAAAAATTAAAAAATGCTTTTTAATATATTTTTATCTGGAACAATTTTTTTTTTATATTTTGTAGAATTTGGTCTGAAGAAAATGTGGAAATCTCCAAATGGAACTATCCGGAACATTTTAGGAGGGACAGTATTTCGGGAAGCCATTATTTGTAAGAATATACCTCGCTTGGTTCCAGGCTGGAAAAAAAGTATTGTAATTGGTCGTCATGCATATGGAGATCAAGTAAATTACAAATATTTATTGCTTTTAGCAAGAAATTTTTCTTTTTTTTTTTTTTATTAAGATCACATTAAAATTTTAACTTCATTCAGCTTTCAATAAAAAGGGTGACGATCTATTTTTGGAAAACTCACTTAAATTCTTCAAAAACAATTTTATTGCCTTGGACAGATTAGTATTTCCTTGAAGTAAATTTAGTTTTAACATAGTACTATTTTATTAAATTCACTCACTAATCCATTTAGTTTTTACTAAATTTAGTTTTCTTTAAAATGTCATCTCTCTTCTGATCAGAGGCAATCACGGATCACTACAGATCCATGGTCATGACTTCTTGGGAAATATTGCAAAGTGGATTCCCATTGCCTTTTGTATGGTTTTGAATTGAGCGTAATCCTTCTCCAAAACTGGGCTTATGGCCACATCCTGTTGAAACAACGGTTCCCATATGATCACCAAAGTTAAGCAACATTGAGCTTGGTTAGTACCTAAATGGGAGACCACTTGGGAATACCAGATGCTGTAAGCTTGGATGTGCAGTTGGTGTAATAGATAATGTCTTGGTATTGTTAATCAAAGAGCCAAGTTTCAATTCCTGTTGGGTTTGTTATATTCACTTATTCAAAAACACCCTTGCAAAAGGTATGAATTCACCTTTTTACCCCCAGCTATGAGTTAATTAGTAAAACTTGTATCACTAAGCCATTATTATCTCCAAAAAACATTCTTAAAATCTAAAAATATTTTTTAGCTAAATAACCTGCAAATGGTTGACAAGCGATAGAAAACAAATCAAACAATATTCTCCAAAACTGGTTGCTATCCAAGGCTAGAGAACCCAGTCTATCCTGCTATTTAACCTATAGTTGTTTGGGATGAGGATACATAACTTTCCCAAAGGTATTAGGGGAAAAGTAAACACAACAAACTAAGCCAGAATTTGAACTTGGCTCACGTAACCATTATGATACCTGGATGTTCTCTTTTACTAAATAAATAACATGGAAATGATTCATTAAACCATTTTAAATGAAAATATTCATTTTTTAGATAAAGAAATTACTTTTAGATGCTGGAGAAAGAGCTTTTTTCTGATAGCATAAATATTTTTTTATAATTTTCTTTACATAGTAAACAAAATCATATATAGTAGGTACCTCCAAAAATTTGCTAAAAAAGAACATACCATGATGAAAAAAGGCCCCAAACTTGATAAAAACAAAGTTTTATCATCAAAATGTTTATTATTATTAAGAGGGAAGACCAGAGTATTTTTTTATTTTATTAAATTTTTAATCCTTTCTAGAATGTTTAAAATTTTGATTAAAAATCTTGTTTTTCTTGCATCAGAAATTAGTATAGGAAATTTAATGTCTTTTTTACAGTAAAAAACACATTGTTTTGGAAATTCTTACACAAATCAAATAATTATCAGATTTTCATGAAATTTTCAGCACTTATTCACAAATGAATTAAATTATTTTTAATTTTTTTTCTTTTCAGAAAAACTTGGTAAAAATACATTTTTTACATCTGTTACTTAATTATTCACTTAATTTTATGAAATTTCAAGAAATTAAAATTCTACCTTCTTCATATTTATATTAGTTAAAAGCTGGACTCCTTGGAGAATTTAAATCATCAATTTGTTTTTGTCAAACAAATACTGTTTACTGAAAATCTGCTCTGAATCGTAAAATAAAAAATGCAATAAAACTATGCTGTTATTTAATTAGAAGAGCTTTTAATTGCTTTTATAAATAAGATATATTAAGGACACTATTGTCTTAAGAAAAAAAATTTTCACTAAATAATAAATTTTTATAAGAATTGTTTTCATTTTTTAAAATTTTAATAAGAATAATTTATTAAGTTTTAAATCTTTTAAAATTCTGTATTAATTTCACTTTTAGATGATATTATTATTATTAAGTAAAAAGTAGTTTAGTAATCATAAATGGAAAAGTTTAGAACAAATCATCAAAAATCAATATTTTAAAAAGAATTTAAAATTTTTTCTATGTGTATAAACATATCAATTTTTATTGATACAGTGGCCCATACTCAACATTATCAGAAAATAAGAGCAATAACTCTAGTAAATTTAAAACCAGAAAGTATCTAAAATTCAATAAAATATTAGATTGTGTAGAATATTTTCTTAAAATTTTAAGATTACTGAGTACCTAAAAATTATATATAAAAAGGTGCTCAGATCATATTTAATTACTTTTACCACTCTATGCCTCCATATAACAACATTAGATAAACATCAATCTGTCTTCAAAATCTGTCATCAAATATGTCAACAGCTTAAATAAACAGCTCCTGCTGTGTTAAAAATGCATTTCTGCAATATTTTAAACTTAATGTAAATAATATTTGTTTCAAATAAGATTAATTATACTTTAAATCAGATAATATTCCTCAAATAAAGTTTCAGAAAAGTATATTTTATTTTTGAAGGATTTTTTTAATAAAGAGGATTACATTGTGATGAAAAATGACTAAAAAAGGGCACTAATCACCTATTTTAGAAAAAAAAATTCCTAGTCAATTTAGATTAGTTTTGAAATACAGCAAAGTATTTTGCTTATTGGAAATATAAAATTTAATCTATTATCTTGAAATTAAAACTAGAATAAAAGCTTCAAGAAAGCTTTTTACTTTTTAAAAATTCATTTTAAACCTTAGGTATCACATTTTCTTTAGTGGTACCTAATATATAGTGATTGTTGAATGTATCTTTTCATCTGCATTTCATAAGCTCGAAATAAAGAACTTTCAAATTTGAAATTGGGAGAAAGCAACAAATATTTTGACAATATCAGCATTTCAAAAATGTCAGTGACTACATATTACAACCCTGCTTACTCTGCAACTATGAGGGCTAATTGATAAGTAAAGTCTTCAATCTTTTAAAACAAGTTTTTGACTAAATAGAATCATAAAACTGGTATCAAAATGAAGCAAATTTATTTCTTTTCAAAATTATGAGAGTTGATTGATAAGTAAAGTATCCAATCCTATAAAACAATTTTTATGCTTGGTAGAATAATAAAACTGGCATCAAAATGATGTAAATTTATGTCTTTTCAGAATTACGAGGCTTGATTGATAAGTAAGGTTTCCAAACCCATAAAACAAGTTTATACTAGAGAGAATAAATAAGCTGATGTCAAAATAAAGTAAATGTATTTCTTTTCAAAATTATGAATGTTGATTGATAAGTAAGGTTTCCAATCCTATAAAACAAGTTTTATACCAGAGAAAATAAATAAGCTGGTATCAAAATGAAGTGAATGTATTTCTTTTCAAAATTATGAATGTTGATTGATGAATAAGGTTTCCAATCCTATAATTAATCCTGGTATCAAAATAGTAAATTTATTTCTCTTCAAAAATATTAGGATTGATTGATAACTACAGTTTCTAAACTTATAAAACAAGTTTTAGATAAAATAGATAAATTTCTCTTCAAAAGTTTATTTTTCATTTTAGTTTAGTGCTCCACATTTTCCATTTGTTCTACTCATTTTTTATTCTGTCCATGAAAAAAGTTTTTGCTTCACTTTTGATCCAATTGTGCAAGGCCACTTCAATTTCAATCACAGCTGAAAAATGTTGACCTTTAACAAGTTTTGTGGCACCAAATAGGGTTGGTACAGAAAGGGTTTAACAATTGTGAATTTTAGGCTACTCAATGTACCACTTGTTGACTGCAGTATGGCTTTGCATTTTCTTGATGCAGTAAAAAGTTATCTATTTTGTGGATGCATTGTTTGACAGATTGCAAGATTTCATTATTTTCATGTGTCAGTGAATTTCAGTTGACATGAACTTTCTAGTTCCAAAAATTCCATCACTTATCACCTCTTTACATATAACTCATGACTAACAACAAATGAATGCTCAATAGTACATAGTAACTGAAAACAAGCAAGTTTGAACAGGTACTTATATACTTTTATTTGGTAATCCTTCACTTAATTGGTGTAAAATAAATTGCTATTCCACGAACAGCATAAAAATCAATAAGACTATGGTATTTTTAGTTGGATTGATGTTAGCTCTATGGTATATTTAGTTGGATTGATGTTAGCTCTATCACTGATATTCAGCACTTTCCAATAAGTACCGCACATATGTAATATATAAGTAATATATATAATAAATTTCATATATATATATATATATATATACATTTCACATATAAGACTATGGTATATATATTTATTACATTTAAACATTATTTCATGGCTAATGGTGGACTATGCATCAAATAAATGCTAAAAGTACAAGACTTGTACTGCAGGAACCACAAAATGCTGCTGATAAATAATGACATCATGAGAATATATCCCATCATTGATTTCATCGGTTCCAGCATAAGCAACCCAGACATCTGAAACAATGTGGCTTCCAGGCTAAATATATCACACAGTTGTCTTTTTCAAATTCTCTGCTCTTTGACCCTCTACCTTAACTAAGTTAAACTTTCATGAACCCCGCTCGATACCACCAAATATTCTATAACCAGAATATTAATTATGATGAAAAAACTTTTTTTTTAATTATTTCACCCCAAGCAAGGCAATAAAGCCACTAGGATGCAAGGGGTTAATGAGTGTTAGAGAATATGAGAAAAACTACTATTAAGGAAAGAGGACAATAAAAGAGCAAGAATTAAGAAGCCAGAAGATAATGATTATTGCATTTAAATTTTTGAAGATCAAAGTTGACTGGGAGACAAGGAGCTGGAAGATAGTTCCACTAGCAAGAAGTGCAATTGAAGAAGCTGTTAGTATAGAACTTATGGTTACATATAGCCATTTCAACTGTAAAATGATGAGACCTTGCCACCAATCTAGTACTATGCTTAAATTCATAAAGTCTACACAACATAGTGGAAAGTTCATCAGAACAACTACCATGAAAGTATTTATAGAAAAGGCATGGGCAAGCTATGTTATGGCGATGGGAAAATTACTGAAGCCAAGATGCCAGAAAAGGTACAAATCCACCTCTTCTCCCTTCCAGCTATGGGTTAATTAGTAGGATTTGTATCAGTAAATCATTATTATATCAAAAAATATTTACAATCTAAAAATATTTCCTGGCTTAAAATAATCTGCAAAAGGTTGATAAGCTGTAAAAAAGAAATAGAAAAATCAAAAGCAAATCAATATTGTGAGAAAAATTGTCTAGTATGACATAGTGAACTAGCATATACATGTTCAAGCATCTTTTTATCTACAGTATTAATAATGCTAAATGGTAGACCTTACATATAAATCAATACTCATACTAGCACTACTGATGTCAGATTTGTACTGCTTTACTTTGCACTGTCAAAAGTATAGTTGAGTCATAAATAATTATACATTTTCACTAATAAAAAAAAAAGTGCCTGCATGCTGCATGGCTAAATTCTACACTATTGCTACAGCTGAAATGCATTACACACCACATAACTTTGCTTGCATCCATTGTTTGGTCTGTAAACATTTACCAAGTTTTGATGAATGCCTTTTCTTTCTGCATGAAGGAATTCAAGGATACACCTTTGCTTCTTATGAACTTTCATAACAAACTCCATTTTGCCAGAATGTTTTTCAGTTGTTGCTTATAAAAAGGCAAAAAATATGGGCTTTTGCTACATGATCAACATCTACCTCTGACATTGTGGGTAAGCATCATGAAAGAAGGAAGCATTATGGGTTATTTGTGGGAAGATTCAACCTCTATTGTCATATCACCAACATCTACCTTGATATTTTGGGCTGACATCATAAAATATTTGGCATTACTTTCAGAGCAATCAGCATATGATCTTTTTATATTCAAAGAATTCCTTCTATTTGATATCTTTTTTTTTTTGATTTACAGATTTAAAATTTCATTATTTTAAAAATAATTCTTCACTTTTCATCCTTACAGTACAAAGCTACTGACTTTGTTGTTCCTGGTCCTGGAAAAGTTGAAATTAAATTCACAGCAACAAATGGTGAATCAATGCAATATACAGTATTTGATTTTAAAGATGGTGGAGGTGTTGCTATGGGAATGTATAATACTGACCAGGTAATTATCAATAATGTTTTTTTTTTAATTGGCCAACATCTTTAAACTCTTTTGACATTATCCCTATGCAAGAGTACCCATCTAAATTGGTAGCACAGTGCATCTATTACCCTGTCAATAGGGCTTAGAATACACTGACTGCATCCTTTGCACAGAATTAAAACTCTCCCCCCAAAAAGACCAACCCCTGTGTGATTACCTTGGTTATAAACAAAACTAATGTTTATCTTTTGGACTCTTGAGTAAACCAGTCATATGTCTAGCTTTTTTGCTCAAACATATAACCAGAATCATCTCTACCTTTTTGACTCTAGTGTAAACTGGACTCATGTCTACCTTTTAGACTCTAGCATATACTGGACTCATGTCTACATTTTAGACTCTAGCATAAACTGTACTCATGTCTAACATTTTGACTAGTGTAAACCAAACATGTTTACCTTTATTTCTCCAGTGTAAATTGAACTTATGTGTAGCTTTTTGACTAGTATAAAGCTAGACACATATCTACCTTTTTGACTCTAGGGTAAACTTGGCTAATGTCTACTTTTTTGCTTCAAGCATAAAACTAGGCCCATATCTTAAACTTTTTTGACTCAAGCATAAAACCAGAATCATCTCAACTTTTTTGACTCTAGTGTAAAACAAATTTAATCTAGCCTTTTTATTCTAATGTAAATTGGATTCATATCTAACTTTTTGAGTCTTGTATAAAACCAGACATGTGTCTACCTTTTTGACTCTAGTGTAAAACTGGATTCATGTCTACCATTTCAACTTTGGTTTAAACTGGGCTTGTGTCTCCATTTTTGGTACCAGTGAAAAACTGGATACATGTCTAGCTAACTTTTTGACTTTAGTGTAAACCTTATTTATATGTATCGATTAATTGATTATAATTATTGTACTATAAGACTTGTATTCAACATTAAATCACCCAGAAAATATTGATATGTGTTGAGAGATAAACATATGTGTCTCCTGAAATGTCAACAACAAATATGGCAGACTCAGGATGTGAGTCCACGTAAATAAATGAAAAACAACAAGAACCAATATATATGTATAAACAAATGATAATGTATTAACAAGAAAGGTTACAAGTGACAAAGACAAAGATGTGTGTGTCAAATAAATGTGAAAACTTTTTGAGTGCAAAGTATGGGTAGTGGGTGAATGGGTGTACATAAATGTGTGTGTATGTATTGTTCATATATTTCCCAAAGAGGTTTACATGTTGTCATGCAAGCAGCAAAAGTAAGAAGAGAGTGATAAAAAAATTATTGCAGAATATTTGTAGTTCAAAGAGCATCTCCTAGTAACGGTTTCAAAAATTAGGAGGAGGTAATCTGACATATGTCATTAAATTAACCAATTTAACTTTTATTCATGTATGTGGTCTGTTCGGAAACTATCCAGCCATTTTGAATATCTCAACAATCAGTTGTATATCTTTGATATAACTTCATTTCACTCCAAGCAAGGTGATAATACCTCTAAGATGTAAGAAGTTACTGGTGCTAAGAGAATATGATAAAAATTTAGAAGGAACTGGAAACTCAATCCTAAAGAGGAAACTAGAGATAAACATGTACTCCTGTTCAAAAGACATAGAACAGGAGTAGAGGTTTATCCATTTAGCTAGTTAATGAACAGATGCATTGCTTTGGGGCTTACTCAGCTGACAATAAGATGCCACTAAATGAACCTCTGTATTGTGAAATCATCACATTCACAATGAATATGTGTCAAGTTTAGTGTGAAACTTGAATATTTGTCAAAAAATCATTCAAAAGCTTTGGGAGAGGATTCAATGAGTGGAGCCTAGATAAAATTTTGGCACCAATGCTTCAAACTTGGCCAAGAATCTGTTAAAAGCAATCAATATTCTGAGAGGCTTTTGAAAAGGCAGAACATGCAATGCATGCAAGTTGCAATCAAACAAAATCGACAATTGACAGTTCAAGAATTAGAAGATCTGGAGATTTCACAAAAAGTCTGCCTCCAAGAGTATTCATCCAGCCATTCTTGACTTCTCATTTTTCATAACTCATGTAGTTTTTCTGGTAAAGTATTGTATGAAATTGATCTGCTTAGTACCCCTGATAGTCAAGATTTGGCTCCTAGCAACCTATTGCTTTTCCTAAACTTAAAATTGCTAATGAAGGTGGTGGTGATTTCAGATAATAGACAAGATTAACCCATTAATGTCCATTATAAAATCTGATATTTTAAAAATTAAAGTAAGAATCTGGCATTAATTATAGGTTTCAAAAAAATCTAATAGTATCTATCTATCTATCTATCTATCTATCTATCTATCTATCTATCTATCTATCTATCTATCGCCTCATGAAATATAAGGCCACTACAGAATATCTCCATTTACTCTGTCTGCAGTTGGTACTTGCACTTCACCCTTGGATTGCCAGCACATTACTTCTCTCTCCTTCTCCATAGTCTTTTGGTATGTCATTCTTGGTCTTCTTCTTTTATCTTCAGGGACCCAGGTCAGTAGTTGTAGTCATTGTTTGGGTCTTGCCTTAAAGTATAGCTGATGAACCTTCATCTTCTTTGTCTTATCTCAAAATTAAGGGTTTCTACTGAGACATGCTGGAGAAGTTTTGCCATTTTCATTGTTTTACCATCTGGTATTAATTATAGGTTTCTACCTATAACCCCTTCATGCCTACTGGCATATTTTTTGGAACAATGAACATTAATGGGTTAATGAGAAAGAGACAAGGCAGCTGACAGCAATCCCTAAAGAGGACTTTAAAGACTGTTTTGAAAAGTAGAAAGGATACTGGGATGTGGGGTTCTAGATGGAGTTCTTTGAAGAGATTAAGATACCACTGTTCTAGGTGGGCTGTTATTTTTTCCATTAATATTAAATGGCTGCATCATTTCTGATAAGATGTCATACTAGATAGAAAGTGTGTTCTTCTGAAACTTCTAATCAATTTATTAATTTTTATTTTTTTAGAGTATAAAGGATTTTGGACACAGCTCATTTCAGTTTGCCCTCAATAAAGGTTGGCCATTATATCTAAGGTTAGTTTCTGTAATACTTTAAAATTTTATACATTTGTTGATCTGTGGATGTATTGTGGAGCATTCAAATCAATTTTAATTATAGTTGATTAATTTCTATTTTAAATAAATATATTTATTGGAAAGAAATTTATTTACATAAACAGAAGTTTTTTTTATTTTTTAGATAATATAATAAAAGAGAAAAAATTTTTTAACTTACACTGATATATTATGTTATATATTATGTGTTTCAAGGCTGAAAATCCTCTTAGTTATTCTCCTGGAGGTTAGCATCAGCCATACTTTTGCTATTTATGAACTCTTGAACAATTGCATATGTCCTACCCACAAGGAATCCTCAGATTACATTGATAGGATAATGTGCCACATGTCAAAATTCAGAAGCATTCGCAGTGAATGATCATCTAAGCCATGCTTGTCAATTGACATCAGCATTAGATTGGCCATGTCATCCACCTGCTTGAGAACCAACCTGTGACATGCTTTAAATTGGAATCCGGCAAAGGGACTGTTGATGGTTAGTTCAAGTGATACAGGATCACATCAGGGCCATCCTGAAGACTTGTAATATCTACCCTAGTCAATTAGAAAAGTTAGCTGATGATCAGATCAGTTGACAACAGAACTGCATGGATGCTTTCAAATCACAGAAACAAAATTGGTCTCTTAGGCAGCAGAATGTTATCAAAGATGTCACATAAATAATCCTTCCTCTACTGCCATCCAAGGTTTTTTCAGATGCCCTAATTGTGGAAAAGTGTGCTGTTCTGACTTGATCTAATCAGCTACATGAGAAGCCCATACACCATGAAGCAAACTGTTGACTTTAGCTGAAAAGACTATCTAAAATAACAAGACACCAAGAGATTTTATAATGCTTGCTTTTACTTGTCACTTTGACTAAAGAGAATGATAAACTGAAGGCACTAAGATCATGAACAATGATAAACAAATTAAGGACTTAGTATATGTCTGTAAATCTTATTTGTTTATATAAAAAAAGTTCAAAATAAACCCAAAACTCTCTGCTTAAATGTATACTTATAAAAAAAAAACTCAAAATAATATTCTTTTTAAATAAAGTAATTAAGATATTTATTTTCTGTGATTTCACAAACTTTATAAATATGATTAATTTTCAAACAGACTTTTTTTCTAAAAATGTTACTGATATGATATTAATTTTATTTTTTCATTTCTAATTTCAGTACCAAAAACACAATTCTTAAGAAATATGATGGCCGATTTAAAGACATCTTTCAAGAGTTATATAACAAGTAAGTATATAAAAAGAATAATCTTTCTGTCTGTCTATCTATCTATCTATCTATCTATATATATATATATATATATATATATGTAAAAGTGAACATTGAAATCAACACTTAGAGGCAACAGGCTGTTTCATGCTAGACACAATCATCAGGCCACAGGCCAAACGATTGCATGTGTAAATATAAAAGTGAACATTGAAATCAACACTTAAAGGCAACAGGCTGTTTCATGCTAGACGCATACGTCAGGCCACAGGCCAAACGATTGCATGTGTAAATATAAAAGTCAATATTGAAATCAACACTTAGAGGTGACAGGCTGTTTCATGCTAGACACAATCGCCAGGCCACAGGCCAAACAATTGCGTCTAGCATGAAACAGCCTGTTGCCTCTAAGTGTTGACTTCAATGTTCACTTTATTTACACACTCTATCTCTGATATTAAGCACCTTATCCCATAAATATAGCACACCTTAAGAGTATATTTCTTTTATTATATATATATATATATATATATATATATATATATATATATGTATATATATAATCAGTGATGACTCTAGGTCATCCATGTTTGTTTACACTCTTTAACAAAATATACTATTGGTATAACTTAGACGTTAAAATGATTCCTTTACTCTAAAATATATAATTTTTTAAATCTCTAGCCATTTTTTTATAAATAACATGTGTATCTATCTTGAGTGTGTATTGGTATATATGTCTATGCATTAGTTTATGTATCTCTCTGTCTGAATTTTTAGCTTAAATGTACATTTACGATCAGTACTGCTAACTGATATCATATGTTCTCAACACTATTCAGTCATGTTTATCACCCCAACCATCCACTCAATGAGTTAAGGCTGATACTTTCTTTGATTTTCACCAACTTAATTTTTGAATTTCAAATTTATCTTTAATTTTAAATTTAATTTTCCCTTTTTTCAATTGATTCATTGTGCTAAAAAACCTTATACTGTACAGAATAAATTATTTAAAATAGACATTTCAAAACAATAAGTTGAAATAAAAATGTGTTCTTTGAAAAACAGAGCATACAAGTCATTAGAGATAAAGGTTATTTATAAAATTAAAGCAAGAAATGCATTGCCTATTAAGTATGTCTCCAGCTCAGATAGGGTACAGATCTATGCAGCCCAACTAGCCATGTTAATTTTATTTCATTCTTTTTTTACTTATTTTCTTTCTTTGTTTTATTTCTTTCTTTCTTCTTTATTATGAACAGTATCAACAAAATGTATTTCGGTCACTATTTTGAGGCATGGAGTTAAAACAATAAATTTTGGGTCCAGCTGAAGTCAAGAATGAAAATGATGCACTATGAAATATTTTTATTGCTTGAATGTTGACTAACTCAGGCTAAGTCCAGCAATCTTGACCTCTGGAGTCGCCACTGATATATATATATATATAGAGAGAGAGAGAGAGACAGACAGACAGACAGACAGACAGACAGAGACAGAGAGATAAGAACCAATAGGTAGGACAATTATTGCTAGTAAAAACTATTACTGAATGTGAAAAAACATTGATTTTTACAAACTCAACAAATTTTATGACAGTTGATTGGTAGGAAGAGATTTATTTTTGATTTTGTGAGGTAGTTCTTTAGAAAATGTAAACATTTGTTAATTTGTATATCTATAAAAGGCAGGATGTGTGTGTGTGTGTGTGTGTGTGTGTGTGTGTGTGTAACGAATGCACGGCTGCAATTTTTGACGGATTTGCACCAAAATTTACATGCACATGCTCCAAGTTAGCGGGAAGGTCAAGACTGACTTTGCACTTCCCAACACCCATTGAGAGGGGAAATAATCGATTTTTTCATGCTTCTACGGCAGTTTTCATGTAGTTTGCGGCCATTTTCTACTGGCCAGAGTGAGAGCCTATAACTGGCTGCCACAAATAGGTAGGAAGATTCTATTGGCCAGTGTGACAGCCAACAGCTGACTGACACGAATGTTAACTAGCATGCTAGCATGCAAAAAAAATTGATAGCTGCATTCGTCACAAGTGGGAAAAATTTAAATCTGCATGGTACTTTACTCCAATTGGCTCATTCGCTTGCTTAAACTCAATGTTGATTCTGATTCCACAGAACTGGGTTATGTGTGAAAAATTATTTGTTGTTAACATTCCTTTTTCATTCAGTTTTTCTAGTTATGAGTCCTTTTTTAAAGCTGATCGTTTTGTGTTCATTTTGTTTAGTTTTTTTTTTTGTAACAGATTTAATGTTTAGTATAGAGCTTAGAAAAAATTTGCAGTGTGAGATAGGCAAGAAGTAAGGCATGTAGCAACATCAGCATGGCAAAGGGCACTCTTTTAAAGGCAAGGAAGAACAAAAATATTTTAAGTCAAGTGATAGCGATTGCTGTATGAGTCGTACGATTTTTTAATCAAGCATGGGCAACGCTGGGCCATGCTGCTAGTGTTCATATATAAGGATTTATAAAAAATAAAGAAACTAAACCACTCCTTGCTGATCAAGATTCATAAAAATTTGTCAGCTTTGTACAAACCAATATTTTTGCATTCAGTAATAGTTTTTACAAACAAAACTTTGACCTTCCTATAGGTTCTCCTCTTAGCTCTGTGTTAGCTTCTTTTTAGAATATATATGTATGCTATTGCATTTGGTTATACTTTAGTACATCAAACAAATTTAGTGCAGGGTCAGAATTTGTTCAGGTAATATGAATAATACAAGAATAGAAATTGCCTCTAAGTGGATAAAGAAAAAAAGATAAGGAAATCTAATCATGGAATAAGCAATTCCAGGATACAATGACAGGGCTACAAACAAACTTTTTTTTATTATTGTCCCAAAACTGTCCTAAAAAACAATGTTAATCATTGCCTCCCCTACCTCAAAAAAAATTTTTAACTGTCCTGAAATCAAAATGTTATTTCAACTTTGTTATCATTTATAGAGTTTAGTAACATTGTAAAAACTCAATTAAAATGTTTAGGAAATGAATATTTATTTTCATCCATTTTATCTTTAGTCATTTATTTGTTTTTAATGCAATCAGTACAGGTTGTAAGAAAAATTAAAAAAGCTAAAAAATAATGAAAACAGAAACAAATGAGTTAAATTTTAATGTAATTTTGATTAAAATCACAACTTTATTTTTATCTAAGCATTTCAATTAAATCACCTTGAATAATTTTACATGGAAGTGTTCTTATTAATAAATTTTCATGCTCAAAGTAACTTTTATCATATTTTAATTTTAGAATTGTGCTCTATGCACAATGAAGAATATAAGTGGGAAAATTACTGAATTATTGTTGATATGTATGCATGATACTTCATGAATGTATATGTTTACTATATTATTCTTCATAATAAAATTAGTGATAACTTTGTGAGAGAACATAATCCACATGCTAACTTATTAACTTATGAAGGAACAAGCAGAATTATAATATGATAAATTAACTCATGATCAAGAGAATGAATTCATAGTTGTTATCACAATGTAATTTTGATGAATCAATATTGATAACTTTATTTTTGTTTCCAGTGAATATAAAAAGAAGTTTGAAGAAAAGAATATCTGGTATGAACATCGGTTGATTGATGATATGGTTGCATTTGTATTAAAATCTGAAGGAGGATTTGTATGGGCTTGTAAGAATTATGATGGAGATGTTCAGTCTGATACTGTAGCTCAAGGTAAGCTACAATACTATTTAGTATTCATGTACACACACATACATAGGAAGGCAGTATGGTAGAAAAGATTTTGTTCTAGGAAACAAAATTTTGTCTATCAAAGGTTACTTCTCATGGCATTAAACAGCACTACACATATCATCTGAATTGGTGGCTTTTATTGCACTTAGTAAGGAAAATTTAACAGACTATCTGTCTGAATGAGAGAGAGAAAGTGAGTAAGGGAGAAACTTCTAATTCTTAGCAGATTCAGACCTGTGTGCTCACTAAGAGGCAAAAATTCTCACTAGAGGTTTTGTGGGAGATATTCCTTTCTTTAGGAAATCCCATGTTTTTTTTTCTAATTGATAACTAATAATTTATTTTTATTCTCCACTATTGTTTAATGAAAAGGCACACAAATCTACTACTTTGATAAGCAAAACCATTTTCTTATATTTTCATTTTTTTTATTATGACAGATGCATAATATGATAATTAAGTGTCATCCTTCCCTGACCCTATATTACTCAAGCCCGTTTCTTTCTGATATCCAGTGATAACTGTTTTCAACTCTCTACCATTTATTTGTTTATTTTTCTTCTATTGGTGATGTTGGTGAATCTTCTGAACTCCAGGGTATCAGATATTTATATATTGTATTTCAAAAATACAATATATTTCCAACAACTAACTCATTACAAAATAAATCCGTTTTTTTCATTTCTAACCTTAATCATTAAACTTTAACTTATATGCATATTACAAAAGCATCCCTAGATAATTACTTTTCTCTACTGTATGTGATTCTATTCAAACAATTTTAAGTAAAATATTTCCTTGAAAAACATTTACATTTTTTATAGTTTTTCACATGTCCAATCAATGAAAACAAACATTTTACAATGTAAACACATTAAAAACAGTAAAAATTTACCATCTAAACACATTAAACAGTAAAAAATTGTTCAGCAAGTTTGCTAACTGCATAGTTAACCAGATTTTAAGCATGAAGTGATTTTAAATATGATTATTAACTGATAATGTCACATCATGTCATATCATAAGTCCTGTAGCCCATTACAGTTGAACGGCCATCAAATGTACTGCGCACATAGCAGCAATGGTGCGTCTAGGACAAAATAACTTGACAGAAGCCCATCTGTCTTCATGCTGTTTTTTGAATTCAGAGTTTTCTTTCTCCTAGACTAGTTGCCACCTCAAGGCAAGTGAACCTAGTCAGCTTTGCTATTTAACCCATAGCTGTAGGGAGAAGAGATGGATTCAAACTTCTCCCAAGGATATTTGTGTGAAAGTGAAAGTAACAGACGAAATTCAAACTAAGCTCACTGATTTCTCTTTCTGAGTTTCTAAGTATTACACTATCTACACATCTGATATGTTGAGGTTTCCAAACATTAATTATTGTGACTTGGATTTATTTGATAATGATCCATTTACTCTGATGACCCATCCTGGCTATGACTATAAACTATATTTGGTAGCAAGGCCTCTGGTTGGGAGATTTTCAGGTGCTTGTAACCACCTCTTAATTGCTGTTGTTCCCAGGTCCACTCTGACCTGGGGAGATAGTACCTGTTAGGGTCCCAACTATAGGCAAATAGTTAACCACCCAAACTGGAGTCAAGACACTATGAAAGTATTAAAAAAAAAAATTTTGTAGTAAAAATACCAACAATATATTTTTGTAAATGAAATTACTAATGCTCTCTAGAAAATTAAATTTCAGCATTAAATGACCCATGAGGAGTTGATGTGTCACTAAACAAACAAATACTCTGATGTCCAGCAGCACCCCAAACAAAAAAAAGAATAATAGTTCATCACCTCTGACATCAGACAATGTGAGAAACTTTATGTGTAGTAGTTCCAAGATTCTCACCAGTGGTATGATCACCCTAAAGACAGTGAGTTTTGACCAGCTGCATATTAAATATGCATATAGGACTGAACTACAGTCATCAAACCGAGGCAGTATGCCCAGGTCAGTGATGACACAACATTGCTGGGTGGAGAGCTTATGATACTGAAATTAACGACTAAGGTAGATGGTACATCTGATGGAATCAATGGCCACATGTCAATGAGCAAAGTGAACCTTCAAGTCAGAGGACATCAGCTGTGGCTTAATCTGCAAACTGATGGCTTCTGCCAAATGTAATTTGTCCAAGACACTATGCATGAATAAATACCTGCTGAGGCATTTGGAAGGAACTGGTCTTGTACTCAGCAGCACAATGGCCCTATAATCACATCCACTCATGAGACTGATAATGATGATTACTTGGGTTTTACCAAGTCTGACACAATATCAAATTTACAAGACACCCTGTGAGGCTAAGATTCATAGCTTGCATAACCAGGATGATAATCACTACACTAAGGCAAATGTTGCTCTTCTTTATTAGTATTTTATCTTCACATTAACAGGTTTTGGATCCCTTGGTTTGATGACAAGTGTTTTATATTGTCCTGACAACAAAACTATTGAAGCAGAGGCTGCTCATGGCACAGTCACCAGACATTACCGTTTCCATCAACAAGGAAAAGAAACATCTACAAATTCTATTGGTAAATTGCTGATTTTGTTATTCTTTTTAATGCAGAAAATTTTAAGTTGAGTCATAAATAATTTCTGTTTTTGTTTATTCTTCAAACAAAAATATAATTACATTTTATTCAATTAGGTATTCATTATTTGCAATAACTTATCAGGCAGCTCTTCAGTACCTGTTGATTAAAATTCTGCAGGTTTTGATGTGGAAAAGTTTTTGATGAACTCTTGAATCTGGTTTTCATTATAGAAAGGGTTCCCATCAAAGCATTTTACAGTGATTGAAAAAGCTAATAATCACTTAGTGCAAGATCAAGTGAATATGGCAAAGTAGGGTAGAACAGACCAGGTGGGTTCAAAAAATTTATACTTGTGTTATTCTTGTTGCATGCAGCTTTTTGTTGTCAGGGACAAAAACATTTTACCTTCAATCCATTGTGTCTGCTGCCACTGCCATGCAAATTCTAATGTATGTTAGTGTACTCCATATTTATTCTTATCTATCATGTAGGTTAAAATGAAACAGAAATTACTTATGACTCAACCTAATAGCTTTTGTTCTTAAGCATTTAGATGTCATCAAAATGAATTCCAAAAGAAAGCAAGGAATGAAGAAGTAATGTTGATCATTTATTTTTGTCATAGTCTTCAGGATTTGACCTATTTGGCTTTATGAGAGCAGAAATTATTAACTGACATTCTCTATTTTTGTAATGTCTGTAAATCTAACTTTTTTTTATTAACTACTGATTATTCTGTCATTAATACAATATTTTTATCTGACCCTGAGGAGTGACGACATCACAAAAGTCAGTCCTAAATAAGTATTATATAGGAATAAAGTATCACTACTGACACTTGAGTTTGAACATAGATCGCCAATGAGCAAACACAGGCGACCCCATTATTGAATTAAGTAGACCACATGACCATAGAGGAAATGCATAAATAGGAATTAGCTTGGCATCTAACTGACCTCTATTTCTAGTCTATCCTCTATTACTATACAAATCACCATTTCTACTCTATCCTCTATTACTATACAGATTGCTATTCTCTATACTATTCACTATACTATTTCTCTATTCAGATCACTAGATGGATTGCTATTCAAGCGAGTATTATCAAGCAAGTACTATTAGTGCAAGTACTATTCGGAGGTGTCTGACACTAGCATTATTCAATGGCATACTATAGTTGTATTTGCAATTACAAAGTCTATACTACAATAAGCATTACGATTATTATTGCTCTAGATATCTATTGAGCACTCTTATTGCCAAAATTCTGCTCACCTTGACATATGCTAAATTATTTGATTTTATGTATATCAGTAGGTGTTATAATAATAATTATTATTATTATTATGCTATTGACTATTCTGTAGTTACTTATAATCTGAGTAGGCAGGGTTTTGATAGTAAGAATCTTAACTTGGGCAGTCACTTAACACAGTCACTTAGCAGAAGCACTGTCAACGCAGTGTCTCAGCAAAGGGAAAAATGAAAAAACTTGACAACAAAAGTTGTCGTATTATGACCCACAATATCTCAAACTCACCAATCAGATTGCCAGTTGACAATTTTCACAATTTTACATCATAAGCAATAAAATTCATCACAGGCTCCAGTTTTGCATCACATTATTTGGTGTCAGTTTTTATGTTTTTTTTATTTAATCAAAATATTTTATAACATCTCTATGTTGAAATAGTTACTATCTAGTCAACTTTAAATTTCCAACCATACCTCAGATCTTTTATTAATTATAAGAACTAGTTTGGTAATTGTCACTTTAACTGACAAGATGATCAAATTTCAAAATTCAAAGATCCACACATTTTGGCTTATACTCTGTTCCTATTACCTAGGATTTGTTGCCAGACAAAAAGGGAAATTCACCCTAGTGACACAGCTGTTCATTTTAATTTCATTTAAATTGTGTGCATCTATGTTTGCATGCATATTTTAATGCAATGAGAGACCTAAAATTATTTCTACAAATTTTTTTAAAATTTCTAATAAAATAATTTTATAACAATGCTACGCATTTATGGTAAAATCCCCAAAATCTGCAATGTTATTGGTCCTGACATGGCATCTTGGCTTCATTTATTTTCCGACCACCGTAACCTAGCCTTTTCTATAAATATTTTCATGATAATTTTTTAATGAGCTTCCCTCTTTGGTACATCAACTTTACAAATATAAGTGCAGTACTAGATTGGCAGCTTGGTCCTACATGAGGAGAAAGATCTTTTCTTTCCAATTTTATGATTTCATTTCTCAGCCCATAGTAGGAGTTGTCTAGACTGAGTGAGAGAGGAATGTATTATTCCATATCTTATTTCAAACTTAGTCAAATTGAGTGTGTATGTGCATGTACCTCTTGTATACATTAAATGGCACAAGCATAAGGATGTTCCAATAACTTGGACCAATTTTAAATGTGAATTAAGTTTAAGTATATAATGATTTTTTTTCTTTTTCTTTCAGATTTAACAACTTAAATCTTTGGCAATTTCAACTATAGAAAGATTAACAATCAAACAATGTGTTAAAGTTATCGAAGCCTATTATAAAAATGGACATTCAAACAGAAGTGCATTTCGCACACTTCTCACACTTTGCGCACTTCGCAATTTTTTTGGTGAACATAATCAACCAACCGAGAGTGCAACTGGAAATTGTTGTGGAGAGGTTCAATTCCTATGCATGATAACGAGTAGAGGTGTCTGGACTTTCGACTACATTCTCATGCACTGCAGCAATGTTTTCAGCTGAACAGCATAAACGAGCACGCAATCATCTTTTCATATCTGCCACCAACCCAGTTTGTTTGAATTTACGAACAATTTTTCCATTTGCATTCTTGAAACTTTAACATGATGTTTGATTGTTAATCTTTCTATGGTTGAAATGAAGAAATTATTAGACACTTAAACTTAATTCACATTTAAAATTGGTCCAAGTTATTGGAACACCCTTTATAAATCACTATATACATTAAATGGCACAAAATACATGGTGCCTACAAAGTCACACGCAGACATTGTGTGATGGACAGAGTATCAGCTCTTCTTTTATAATATATAATATAGATTTTATACTTCCTGTAGGTTTAGTTATGTAGGATACAAAAATTATCTGCTCTTACATATAAAGTGTCATTTGACAACCCACAGAAATGGGAAAATAAAGCCAGTCATGCTAATTACCAAGAGGCAGACAAATGAAACAGACATTCCTCCCTTTATTTTTCATGGTCAGAGATAATGGCTTCAGTTGACTATCTCTGGTGAAACACTGTGATATTCAAATACAAGACTTTTTCTTTCCTTTGTCAACATTTATCTTTGCTTATTATTCATAGTGTACAATAACTTAACAGTATAGACAACTTAGTTTTTAATACTTTCTTTTTTAAGACTATGTAGCAGCATGCATGTATACTTGAATTATGTATTCACTATTTTCTTTAGATATATGCAGTTTATTTTTCTTGTGATAACTTTCTGGCAATGTTTCCACTTCATGCCTGAAAAAAATGGTGTATCAAAGGCGGGGGTGGGTATTCTCTTGACACTGCTATTAATATTTTGAATCCTTTGGCAATGTTTATTGTTTTTAAAAGGTAATTATTAGAATTTTAATAAAACCCAAACATATGAAAATGGATTTATACATTTTCTTTATTCTTGAGAATAGACAACAAAGATATTAAACACTATTTATTAGATTCAATAAAAGCTTGTTTTCATCATTATATATAAAATGGTTAATCATACTTATTATAAAACCCAGGTTGTGTGTGTCTGTACGTTTATATATTGGATTGGATTTCCTACATTTTTCAACCGATTTCAGCAAAACTTCACAGGACTACGTAAATTACCTTGCGGTGGTTCTGACTTGGTGGTTTGTTTTTGCTTGAAATCAATTTGAAAATATGATTAAGATGCATCGCCAGAATGAAAGGGGGACAACTCATATCGAGTTATACTTATTATAAAACCCAGGTTGTTTGTGTGTGTGTGTGTGTGTGTGTGTGTGTTCATTTATATATGGTATCAGATTTCCTACATTTTTCAGCCGATTTCAACAAAACTTCACTTTTTTTTGGCAGGTAGTGTTTCTTATTGTTTTGTACACTTTTATTTTTTATTTTTACATTCAGAATGTTTTAAAAATTTCATTTACAAGACAATTGTTTATAATAAAATTCTATTCAATCGGTAGACTCATAACAATTGAAAACAATGTTTTTGTTTGAGTTTTATTTGACCAATTAAAAAAAAAAAAAAAAAAAGAATTAAGACATGCGTGTCCGTCAACCTTAAACAATAATCTTTGTCAATTTTATTTTTCAGTCTTTATGATGGTCGATACTTGATCTATCTCTTATTGTTACATCCCCGGGCAATGCCAGGCTCTACTGCTAGTAATAAATATTGCATTGTAGTTGATTTACATATTTTGATAATTTTGTATAAATTTTTTAATAAAAAGAATTCTTTTCAAATATATTTCTTTATAAAAAGCAAATAGTAAATATTGCTATGTACTAGGATCATGCATTTTTTATAATCTTTTAAATTAACATTACCAAGAGAGCTAAAAGTGTATACAGTAATAGTGGTGTCAAGGGAATAACTGCCCTTTTGACACAACATCTTTTTGTAGGCATGAAGCTTAAACACTGCCAACGTTCTTTTTTTTCCCATGTCACATCACTATATTTTACATTTTATTTCAACATCTTCCTATATACAAACCTCATTGAGAGTTCACAAATATTTATTTTCAATTTCATTAACTGTTAAATTTTCAAAGTATTTTCAATTTAACCACAGCATTTCTAGCAAAGTTGCTATGGTAATGATTTTTCCAGAGTTTTTTTCACTGAATGAAATATTGCAGAATAAAATTTTAAACCTCAAATTGGTTTTTACATATTCCATCTTATATGCTTTCTATATTTGTATATAAATGTTGTATTACATACATAACATGGATTCCTCTTGTCGCTTCACACATTTCTATTTCAGTGTTAGTTTAGCCAACTGGCTGTATTAATGCTTGCAAAGAATTGTTGAGGGAAATATTGTTTTCCTTCATCAATTCTTACAGTAACCTTGTGGTTAGCTGTTGGTAAAAAATAACTCATAGCCTATATTTTCTTGATATAACAATGACAATTAGAGATTATTATTTGAAATTTTTATTTTATTTTTTTCTGAAATTTGTTATAAATGTATGCTTGTTATCTTTGGTTTTGACATATTTAACTTCACTGTGCAGCTTCTATATTTGCTTGGACTCGTGGCCTTGCTCATAGAGCTAAACTTGACAGCAACCAACAACTTGATAGATTTGCAAAAGCCATTGAAGAAGTCTGCATAGAAACTGTGGAAGCTGGACATATGACAAAAGATCTTGCTCTCTGCATCAAAGGTTTGGATAGGTAAGCAACCACCATCAAAAGAATCCCACCTTCCTCACTGTTTTTTTCTTCTGTGTTTTTTTGTTTTGTTTTTCTTTCTACAATATTTTTTCTTTTGCCTTTTTCCCTTTTTCTACTTCTGTCACTTCTACTCATCTTGCTTTTCTTTTCTTCATCTTTTTTGCTCCTCCCTCTGCTTATCATTCCTCCTATAAGGCAGTGAATGGTGGATATTTACTCACAAATGAAGAAGAGACTTGAAGCAACAGAAATTTGGTTCTACAGGATGATGCTGAGAATACCATGGACTGAACATGTGAGCAACAACAAATTTTTAGAGAAAATGGAAACAAAAAGGAAACTTATATTTAATATCAGAAAGAAGAAGTTGAAATTTTAAGGGCACATAATGAGGAAAGAGGACTTGGAAAATTTGATACTCACAGGAGAGATAGAAGGCAAGAGGGACAGAAAAAAACAACATGTAACCTACCTAGCAAGCTTGAGTAAATGGATGGTAGAACAAGGTTTAGTAGAGGTAACAATTAGACAAAATTTCTTAAGAGCTACAAAGGACAGGAAATTGTGGAGAGACATAATCGTTAACATCCTGAAGGGACATGTCACATTGAAGGAGAATTTCTTTTGCCTTTCCTCCTCCTGCTACTACTGCTTATTCTTTTTCTCCTTCCATTTGGCATTTAAATCAGTGGTTTCCAAATGGTGCAGCATGCCTCATAGGTGTGTTGGAAGAGGATAGTAGGTGAGGTGGAACGATTGAAAGACAAAGATTTAGAAACAGTTTCAAAAAATTTATATGTCAAAAATAAATATGATTTGAAAATCTAAAATATTATTATGGATTACTTGTAATTGCATGCTCGAGTCTCAGTATAAATAGTTATAAATAATTATTGACTAATTTTATCATTATGATGTTTTTGCATTATATCAAGTATTAAGAATATAGTAACTAGGGTTTGCAAATTGGAGGAGAGAGTTATCAATGATAATGTTTTGACTTCAAAATCTGTGGTTATCTTCCTTTAACCTTTTTTCTGTTTTTATTTTTAAATGTACTTTTTATCACATAAAATTTGGTGAGGCACAAGCAAATTTTCATTCCAAAAATGTGTCCTAGAGAAAAAGTTTGGGAACCACTGACTTAAGTATTAAGTTGATGCTTTGAAATTTACTAATCTCTTTATTGCTCCCATATGTCAAATACTCTTTAAGTGTTGTCCATGAAAAAAAAACATGATTTTGCTATATATTGTCAAAAATCATGGCTGAATATAAAATGAATGTTCAACATTGTTTACTCTTTGTATGAAATTTGGGAAAAAGTGCAGTAAAAAGTTATGTAGGGATGCAGAAAGCAATTATTTACTGATGTCCTAAAGATTCCTGTTAGTAACATGACAACCAGGAGTGGTGTCAGCCCATGGATGATGATAGCTAGGTATTGATTATCTCCTAAAGGTGATGGATCTGATAACCAGAGGCAGTGAGGAAAATACAATAAAATGAAAGTCATGGGTTATAAATAAGGATCACAAAAGTTATCACCCAGGCTGGCTGTGTCCCTCCTAGAAATTTTTGTCCTTTCACATACTGCTTGTTTTTTGTTTGTTTGTTTTTTTTTTTGTATCTGTGACATTATTTCAGCCAAATGAAGATAATTGACTTTTGTATCCCTACACATTATTTTGGCTGGTCAACTCTCTAACCTTCTTCTAGTATGTGCTGTCCATTAATTAGTTTTCAACATCCCAATGCTGTATTCATTTCTTAGCATTTATAAAATGAACACTATAGCAATACATGCAGTTAAAATTAAAAATAATTAATACTTAAAACTATTCGCAGGATGTCATATCTAGAGTATTGACCAACGATTATATAAGTAATAAAAAGTGGGTAATAGTAAAAAAAAATCATTCTTAAATAATGTTATTGTTGTGGAGTAAATAGTACATCCCTGGTGATTATATTAACTAGTCTATAACTATAAGAGCTCTAGGTCAGAGTGAGAAAGGAGAATTTGTTTGGGTTAGTCTTCAACCTAATTAATACAGGCATCACAGCAGGTTGCTGAAGCATTACTTATATTATAAGCAGTACATTGTAACAGTAGTGATGAGATATTTAAAACTCAGGTGATTTATAACTGTTGTGACAAGGATTCAGAACTCTTATAACAGTAACGAATCTTCCTGGAACTCATACAAGTTTTAACTGGAGTTGCAAAGGTTTTGGAAACTCATACTGAGTAAACAAGTATGGGGAAAAAATATATATACTTTTTGCTTCAGGCACAAAGATACAGGTGACAACAAGAATTTTAACCATGTTGGTTTAAAAAAATTTTTTTCTCTTGGGTGTATTGAAGAAAGCAAAAAAAAACATGGAGCAAATTTTAGCTTTGATAGTTGAAATTTTTTTAGCAATAACAGAAATAGCAACAACAAAATCAACAGTTGCTAGAACTAGAAAAACAGCAACAGGAGTTATTAGCTATAATTATGAAGAAAACAAAATATTTTTCAACATTTCTTATGCCAGACTCTGTCCAAAACACCATATCTGAATTTGTATACAATCCTGATGAATTTTTCTACATATCTTCATAGATATGAACAAATATTCAGCCAGGAATGCAGCAACTGGAAAGATGAGAGAAAAAACAAGATTGTTGTTGAGGAAAATACCTCTGATAGAGTATGAAAAATACTGCAACTACATATTACCAAAAAAAACAAGGTGAAATTGAGTATAAAGACAGTACACATTCTGATAAAAAAAAATTTTTAGCAACAAGAGTTTATTGTTTATTGCTTATTGGAGGTGCATGAAGCTAACCAAAAATAGGACAAAGATTTTGACATGTATGCTGGTATTGTCAACAAATAATATGAAAGTTTAGAATAAAGGAAAAGAATTCAGATATATTCAAAGGGTTAATTTTTGTTCAAGGTTTAACACCTAAAAAAGATGTTGAAATATGAGCATTAATTTTAGTGAAAATTGAACAAAAACAGTAATATTGTACTGCAAGAAATAGTGGACGATTGCCAGACAATTCTAAGTCTGAAACATGATGCTGAAGAAATTCCAAAAAATGAATGTGCATTGGTACAAGCAGCAGACAAATGTACAAAAAGGAGAATAAATCCTTGTTTCAGATGTGGTAAATTACATCTTGGAAAAGACTTCCCATTTAAAAATGCAGAATGTTACAAGTGTGGTAAAAAGTCACACTGCAAAACCAAACCAAGAAAAAATTCTCACATGAAGAAATTTATACACAGCATTGCAATGGAAAAAATGCTCACAGAAAACAAAAGGAAATTTGTGGATGTGAAAATAAATAATGTGGGTGTGAAAATGCTACTGAACAATGTTAGTGACATTTCAATGATCAGTGAAGCTAAATAGAAGGAAATTGGAAAGCCTTTATAAAAAAAAAGGGCTTCTAAAGTCACAATTTTATTTTCTGGTAAGAAATTTTTTTTTTTTTTTTGAGAAGTGACTTGTAATGGCTCATTCTGTAATAAGCATGTGAAAACTAAAGCTTATGTATAAAAAATGCTACAAATTTATTTGGTACTAACTATTTGAATTTTAGTATTTGCCAATAAATGTTTATCATAAAAACATAAGTGGACAAGTAACCAATTTAAATAGTCAGAGCGAAAATCCTAAGGGAGACGGTCTGTCAAATGAACTAGGTTGCTGTTCAAAATTCAAGGTAGATTTTCAGATAAAAAATGGTTCAGTGCCAGTATTTAAGCTGAATCAGAGTGTACCATTCATGGCATTGGGACAAGTCAATGAGGAATTGAACAGACTCAAAAGAATTGGCCTAATAGAAAAAATTAACCATTCAAAATGGATTGCACGAGTAGTGTATGTAAAGAAAAAGATAATAAAATTCATGTTTGAGTGGATTTCTTGACAGGATTGTTTAGAAACGCATAACTACCCATTACCATGTCCAGAGGAAATTTATATATATGTACATAATATGCATAATTTGAGAGCTACCCTGAACGATCTGCTTAAAAAAGGAGTAAAGTGTAACTGGAATGACAACTGTCAAAAGGCGTTTGACAAAATAAAAAAAAACTTACGTCAGATTTATTATTAGCACATTATGATCCAAAGCAGAAATTCTAGTGGCATCTTCAGTGACAGTGAATTTCTTGCATGAACTTTTTGCAAGATATGACATGCTAGATACCATAGTCTTTGAGAATGGAATGTAATTCATGAGTAAAGAATTCAAAAACTATAAATTCTCCATTGAACATATTACGACCCCGCCATATCACCCAAGATCGAATGGACAAGTAGAACAGTTTGTGGGAACACTCAAAAGAGGGAGCACTTCAAAATTTTCTGAGATTTTACCATGTAACACCTAACCCAATACACCATCAGTCATGTCGCCAGTGTAATTAATGTATGCTAGAAAAGTAAAATTGGTGTACGACAAATTATTACCAAGTTGAAAAACATGAACAGATAACAAAATCAACATCAAAAGTTTCAAGGTCAGTGATAAAGTATTCTTTAAAGCATATAAAGATGGCAAAGAAACATGGGAAGATTTTATAATATCAGAAAGAATCAGAAAGTTTACTTACATGGTAAAAGGGAAAAGATTTGAACACAAAATGCACCATAATCAGCTGAAAAAGGTTCATCAATAAAAGACCTAAAACAATGGAAGAACCAATAAAAATGCTATATGATGTTTTTGGATATGTCGGCACCACAAGTCGTGTAACCAACAAGTTCCAGAAAAAGAAAAAGTACTGAAGAACTGGGAGTGGATCTGAGATGGAAATGCTACAAAGTTAAGTACATTAGTGAATTCTGCAGAAAGAGGAAAGGGAGATACTAATACTAATAAAAAAAATAAAATATTTATAAAAAGTATTAATCTCAATAGACAGGAATGTTGTGGAGTAAATAGTACACCAGTGTTCGACAACAAATAGTACACAGGTGACTCTATGAACTAGTTCATAACTATAAGAGCTCCAGGTCAAAGAGAAAAAGAAGCTGTTTGGAGTCAGTATTCAAACTAATTAATACAGGTGTCACAGCAAGTTGCCAAAGCATTACTTATATTATAAGCACTATGAAGCATGTCATAACAATTATTAAGATTATTTAATACTTTTATTTTAATTTTTCTTTTTTTACTAATGTTCACTCAGTACAAAGCTCAAAAGCTACTCAAGGTAGAGGGTTACTGAATGAGGCGTGTGATATTGAATGAATGAGGAGAAAGTAAGAATGAAATATTATGAGAATGTGGAAGATAGATAAAAAATGACACTGGACTTGAAGAGGTTAAGATTTTAGTGTTCAGGAAAGAGGAAAGCATCCACACAAGTCTATTCCACAAAATAGCAGATCTTGGAAAGAAGCTGTCTGAGTGGAACTTCCTTTTTACAATTAGAATATGCAGGAAATGTGAGCAATTTGACTTCATGGACATAGCATGGCAAGTCCTAGCTCTAAAGGTATGAAATAGTAGAACTGCAATTTGCCATAGAAATAGTGATAGGCTTTCAATATTGCATCTGTAGAAAAGGGTTGGTGTAAACTATTTTGAATTCTGTCGAGGCTGGAAATACTTAATACATAATGTTATTATTTATGCCGTAAAGAAATGGGGGTGGGTACTAATTGTTACAGCTGCACATGAAAAACTTCAAAATAAATGAATGTAACATATGGAGGATTTTTATTTATATTTTTATACAGAACAACATAGCTTAAAAGAGGAGAGAAATATACACTTATGTAATGTTCTATAGTGTATGTATGTGAGTGATGTGCCAGGTGGTTCAGTTAAAATTAAGTTGATTTGCCCAGAGGAGCCACATCCCATCTTGTCTTCCTGTATGTGCAAGAGCTGAAAAAGAGAAAGCTTATGACCTTTCCTTTTATAGTCCATATTACCATGCCACCAAGCAGGCATTAAGAGAGGTTTGCTGGCATCCCACAATGCTATTTATACTATTATTTTTTATTAATAATGTTATTAACATTATTTAATACTTTTATTATTAATAATGTTATTCTTTGTATTATTATTTATTATAATGTTATTATTTATTATTAATAATGTTATTAGCATTATTTAATACTTTTATTATTAATATTCTTATTATACATTATATAATATTATTTGTTATTATTTATTATAATGCTAACATTATTTAATGCTTTTATTATTAATAAATATTGTTATTATACATTATAATGTATCTTATTTATGTTATTCATCATATTATTATAATGTTATGTTATTATTTATTATACATCATAATGTTATTACTTATAATATGTTATAATGTTATTATCTATATTATTTATTATTAATGTTATTAATATTATTTAACATTTAATCTAAACAAAAAAACATTGTGTTCTTTTTTGGTTTCAGAATAAAAAGGGATGATTATTTGAATACATTTGAATTCATTGACAAGATTGCAGAAAACCTGAAGGAGAAGTTGGATTGCCAGTGACTTAATGAATCTCAAGGTTATTGTAATTGGAGTCTTCCATAATTGCTCAAAAATATCAAATAACAAAAACATTTTGCTATTTTTGCTAGCATGTTAAACATATTTTATTATTATTATTATTATTACTATTATTATTATTAAGAATAAGGCAACAATCATTTACTAAACATACTTTTTGCAGGAAAAAATGAAACATTTATAAAAAGATTTTGTAACTTTTTATTTCAAAACATTATAGAAATCAAAGCCAAAAAATAATCAACATATTAAAATCTGAAATTAGGTTTACAAGTTTTACAGCATGAAAATAGATTAAGGATGGTCACAGATAGCAATTTTGAAAATTACAGCAAGTAGATATCAATGTTATTTTTTTAAATGCTTTTAGATAAAACATTTTCCCTGTTATTTTATCCCTCATTTTACTGTGTTATTATAATAATAAAAACAATAGAAGAAAGCTAATATCATTCTAACTTCTGATTACTGTTAAAACTACATTCTGTTATTGAATTTGATTCTAGCCATCTAAGTTCTATATTAATAATTATTTTTATAGGCCTTTTCAAAAGATGTTACTGTATGAAAGATAAGGCTCTAATGGAGAAAGGTGATTGCTATGACCATAAAATGTGAGATCTAAAATAAGCAGTTGTATATAATGAGTAGAAAACTGAGCTTTGGGTATTATTATTATTATTAATAATATAATAAAATGCTTTTTCCTGATGATTTACAAGACAGTTTATAGCTTAAATGATTATGCCTTACTTGCTTTCATTTTTTAAAGATTGACTTCTTTTTTTTTTCTAAGTTGCTGTTAAGAATCATTGATTCTTATGTACAGGATCTGTGATATTGAATTATGGACCCTAGAAAATATAGTTTACATTTCTAATCATCTTTTCTACTAAAATTCTACTTAAATTTTTAATCCTCTGGATTTTTGTAAAATAAAAGTTTGTTTCCAATACTGGCAAATAAAGCATCATATTTGCCAACATATAAAATGCACATTTAAATTAATATATATATATATATATATATATATATATATATATATATATATATATATATATGCAAATATTACACTGTGTCCAATGCACTGGTATTATAATGAAAACTCTAAAGGAACAGCTAAGAGTATTTGTTGTGTTGAAGTGAGCAATAGAATACTGAATACCATTGTAAACTATTTAGCTTACAGTCTGGCAAATACAATAATTGCTTGTTTACACACATGCACACACAAAACTTATTTTGATTCTTGTTTCAATTATATTTATACAATTCATATGACAAAGTTACGAGTTCAGTGTCATAGAATTTATATGCTTGTGATTTTCTGTTTTCTATATTTTCTTTTAATATACCCTATTTTAAAATCTTTCAGTGTTTAATCTTTTCAAGACCTTTTAAAATTAATGAAAAAAATAAAACAATTATTATGGAGGAAATATTCTGACATGCTCAGTGCAAAGAAAACAAATAATAGGGAAATATTTTTATTGCTTTGGGGATGATTTGAAATTTAATTTCTGTTTTATAAACACATTAGTGTAAAATGCCCTGCAAAGTTACTTACAGTGCAACCATAACTGGAAGATTTTTCAAACTATTTTATTTTTTAACTGTTTTTGTTATTAAAACTAATCTATTTATATGTTTACATATTTATTTTCAGTAAGTTTGAAAATGCTAATCTGTTAACTTAAAAGTTGTTCAGGTAAAAATCTACCTCCATTTTTATAAACACATGGTTGAAAACATTTAGATTTACACACTTTCATTGCCAAAAAATAATGATTTTTGCTACTTTGTCTGATAAACCATATCTTACTGGTGTCAGTTTAAACTGACTCATTCTTTTTTCCATGTTATGTATTGTGTCTGTGTGTGTACTTATTTGTACCAAATAAGAATGAACATGCAACGCACACTATTATACATTAATTTATTATTGATAAACAAATAGATGTAAACATGGCCATGGATTACTGGTGGATTAAGATTCCATGAGGGAATGCCTGACATCCATATTGAATTCTGATTTTTTTTTTTTTTTTTTGCTTCTCCTTTTTTTTCCTTCTCTCTAGAGAGTTCTTTCTGACCAAGGAGACATTAATTCATTCCCATCTAGGGAGTGAGTTAACTCTCTTGGTTATTGACCTACTGTCCTAACATAGTGTGACCATTTTTCATATTTTCTTGATATTAAATGAAAACTTGGAAATTATCCAACATATTTCAGTGAAATTTTCATTTTCCAAATTTATAGTTTAGTTTATATATACAGAAAAATAGAAGTTGTCTGCTTAAACTGACACGAGGAGGATATGAGTTAAAATCAAAAGAAAAGAATTTAATGCTAGAAGTGTTCAAAGAGCTATTGTGATTTTAAATTCATATACTTTTCATTTGTTTTTATGTTGTCTTTATTGTTTTTGCAAAGACATTTTTGGAAAAAATAAAAAAAGTTTTTGATTGATAAAATTTGCAAAAAGCTAAATATTGTATGGAAATAATTTTAATAATGGCAATCTAATTTTATACATGATAATTTTAAAAGATAAAAATTGTATTTTGCTAGCAGGAATGCTATTTTATTTGGTGAATGATACATTCAATATGCAGAATGAGCGCACACTTGTCCACTTGTTTATGCCTTGATTAACTTTATTTGTACATTGTCCATGTTTCTTAAACAAGGAATTTCAAAAAGATTTTTTTAATATTAAAGGAGAACAAGAAGGAATATGAAACCAATAGTTTTTAAACTCAAAACACATAAAATATAAAGCTTTAGTAATCAAGTTATTTTACATAAGTGTTGTCTTTTATGGGTTTAGAGAATGACATCATTTAAAATAATCCAATTTATATCATCATTTGCAATAATTCAATTTTCTGGGCACACATTCAAGAAGATTGAGCAAGACACAGATCATCTATAAAATCTAGCAGAAAGATATATTCAAATCCCAAATGCTGCAAAGCCAAGAGTCACAGGTCATGAAAGAATTGACTATGACATTGCTCACAAGCAGCAAAACAACCAGTTTCTTCCTCAAATTGATGCTACCTACCTCTCAAAAGCATGAGCATATATACGTTTGAGACGTCTATGATTGATCAAATAGAAAATTACATAAGCTGCCAAACTCTCTGTGAAAGAGATCTAGAAATAACTCCTGGTTTTTTTCACCATTGGTGTTTCAGTTGGTGAGATAAACTGTTTAGTTAAAATCACTTCGGGCCCCTTCATTATGAAATGAAGTTCTGAGACTTGTATATACAAATATATGGGAGTATGATATATAAATACTATATATCAAACTAATGGTGGGTAAATAAATATATATATGTGTGTGTGTGTGAGTGTGTGGAAAAAAGTTTTTGTTTTTACAAAACCTTTTTTCCACTTTGTCATACAACTTCTAAAATTATTCTTTTCCTCTGAATTAATAAAGAAATCTGAAATAAGCATTTATTTTTAAGACATTGCATTGTATATTAAAGTATGCTTGTGTGAAACCTGTGCTTGATGTGATTTGGCAATTTTTTGAATGTTAGGCCTTATATGTGATAATCATACTCTCATTGTAATAGATAATTGATTTAATTTTCTTGTTCAGGTCCACCGAGGTTACTGTAATTCTTTATATTTCTAGGTGAAAATTCATCTTGCTTATAGTTGACGTGTATTTATAATAATAATGTCTAAAAATATAGCCAAAAGTGCTCAGAAATGCAGAATTTTTGACAGCTTTTACACATTTTGTGTCCAGAAAATAAAACACTTCTATGAACACAAGAAAAATTAAATAAAAAGTTTAATCGCAGTACCTTGTCAGTTGTCTTTAACAAAACATGTATAAAAAAGAGGGATTGCTGCCTGAATACACAAAATATATATATATATGCATGTTAGTAGGATGCATAATAGTATCTGAAACAAAAGTGGAGATAAGGAAACAAAGAAGTTTTTTCAATGATGCATTTTGCTGAAATGGCTTAGATTCAGCTTCTTCAGGTTGGAATGAAAGACAAAGATGTGTGTAAGGAAAATGCATTAGGATTTGTGAGGATAAAAGAGGCAATAAATTAAATTACCCTATCAGATCTGATGACCAAAGACCAGAAAATGTTTGTTTGTTGGTATTATATATATATATATATATATATATATATATATATATATATATATATATGTTAGATCTATTGGTGTCTGTTGGATTTTAAATAAGCCCACTCTGAGTAGATCTGTTTTTGTCTCTATTAGCTTTTATACCACATTATGTTACTATTGCTTTTGCAATGATCACTGATATTATGTAAGGTCCTGGTCTTAGGTTTATTGTTGAGAATTGTGAGATTAGTGCACTCTCAATGCATTTTCTTCTTAGTGAATCCTTTTCTCTCCTGATTAGATAGACAGTTATTTAGGTGAAATTATGGTTAGATGTTTTACAGTGTACAACCAGTGTGTTTAAAGTGTTGTTATGCAGCATATCTTTTTGAGATTTCTGGATATTTCAGTGATATATTATAAATGAAAAAAAAACCTTAAAGATCCATTCTGGTTATAATTTATTTCATGAATATTGTTATATTCATCTTTTCAGACCAAAAGTTCTTAATAAAAAAAAAAAAAAAATTAAGAACTGGTCTGAAGAGATGAATATAACAATATTCACAAAATAAATTATAACCAAAATAGATCTTTAAAGTTTTTTCTTGGTTTATTATTATTATTATTATCATTATTCCCTGTAGTTTACATTGAGCTCTCTTTGAATTAATATTCTCCTTGGAATTATCCCTAACAGTCACAAATTGGTATTATATATATATATATATATATATATATATATATACACTCACACACACACACACACACACACACACACACACCAGAAGTATTTATGTTCTCCAAAACAATAAAAAGATGTGTAAGGAATTCAGTAATTAAACTTACTGATTTTTATAAAATAATTTAC